TCATTACACAATGTGAACGAATCTCATGTTCCATCATCAGGATTGGGCTTAACTACTGTCTTACAATTTATTAAACAAATGGATGGAACTATAGATGTGGAATCTGAACTAGAAAAAGGAAGTACATTTATTGTCACACTACCTTTCAAAATAATGAAAAAGGCGGAATTTTCTGATTGGGATAATAGTGGAGCCAAGATGAATTTTTCAATTCAACAGAGATACCTTTCTCTTTTATCAAATGTTCATGAAATGAGTGAAGAATCTGCTGCTACCAATTCTCCAGAAGTTTATTCAAAGATTATTCTGGCAGAAGATAATGCTATCAATAGAAAAGTCATCCTCAAACTCATTGAAAGTATTACAGGATATACAGCTGATTTTGTCTCAGATGGAAAGGAATTAGTTAAAAATTTTGACATTCGACGCCATAGGTTGGTGATTACAGATCTTAACATGCCAAACATGGATGGTATTGAGGCAGCCAAAGAGTTGAAGCGTTTGTATGGAAATTCTGTCAAAATTATTATCCTCACTGGTAATTCAGCTGTCAATGTTGAATCTCTGAAAGGAATTGTTGATGGATTGCTGGAAAAACCATGTTGTAAAGAAGATTTACGGAAATGTATTGATCTATACTGTAAGGAATAATCCAAAGTTTCATTCTTTGGGTTAGTTGAATTTCAATATTTTTAATCTGGAAAATGTATCAATCAAATCTAATAAGGTTGGATTTTTAATCAAAGAGACTTGCAGTAATTAATTACTTGAAACAGTTGTAACACTGAATCAATAGAAACTTTCATTGTAAAGTATTTTCACACTTATTCTTCTAAACTCAACTTGCCACTTTCAACATTCTAAAAATACATCATACATCATGGATCACAGGAAGAAATCTTGTCTTCCATCTCAATTAAAAAAAAACGCAAAGATATCAACGAAACTGTTCTTCTTGTTCGCTTCCTTTGATCTTTTGTTTTTTTCTCGTACAATATAATTACTTTATAATCATCAACAATATTTAGAGAACATGTCCTATTATTTGAATCAATTGGAAGGTTCCGATGATGATGAATATTATAGTGAAGAAGAAGAAGAAGAATTTGATGATGATGATGAAATAATTCATGATCAAGAGGAAGAAGTCGATGAAGAGGAAGATAGTGAGGAAAGAGCTGCTGCTATCGAACAACAAAAGGCTTCACTTTCTATTCAAACACTTTCCAATAAGAAACAACAAAACAAACAAAAGAACAAGATTGCGAAGACAAACACTTCCAAAAAGAAAGATCAACAACAGGAAAGCGTTGTCATGTCCATGACCGAAGAAGAATTGGAATATTATCAAAATTTAAAGTTGTACGGAATTTCTGGACCTAAAAACATGAATAAGAAGGAAAATCAAGTGATTGAAGAAATCAAATTTAAATTGGATGTTCTCCAATCATCGAAAATGTTCTTTGAAAGTGTAAGACCAACCTCTCTGACAATCATTTCCGGAAATCCAAAATATGAAGAACAAAAACGTTACATTATGGCTCATCAATATGAGGCTAGAAAAGGAAAACACTATAACAATGATGATGCCATGATTGAAGGAGAAGTAGTTGCTCCTAAATTCTTATTCCAAGATGTTAGTTCTTCAAAGATTGGTGAATATGTTAGAAATTTGATGAATAGAGTAGATCACTTATCTACACTTTCTCACGACGAAAGATCATTGTTTATTTATGGTGGAAGAACAGGCACCTTGCTTCACGATGATTTGATTCGTTATGATTTTATGACTGGTAAAATGGTTGTTTTCAAGAATTTGGGATTTGTCAGTCATTGTGATGGTACTAGAGTACAAGTACCATGCCCTTCTATTTCTAATAGTGAAATGGTTTCATGTGGAGGTAGAGTTTATATTTTTGGAGCTACTTATGGTTTTCCAAATAGTTTAGATTCGGTTCTTACCAGAGCCCATTTTGGATATTTTTGGGGTAATAGACCTAATACTGCATGGACCAATAATGAATTGGTTATTTTGTGTATGGATGGAGTGATTGGATTCAATAGTGGTCTTTTGGGTGTTGATATACCACGTGTTAATACTACAGCTCTTACTGAAAGATCACATCCTGTAAGAAGTGCAACTTCTGATATTCCTCCAGCTCGTTCTCACTTCTCTATGGTCAAGATGGTAAAGGGCTCAAATCTAGTTGAAGCAATTATCTTTGGTGGTAAGAAGAATACTGTCTTGGATGACATGTACACTTTCACCTTCTCTGATAGGGGACAAACCTATGAAGTCAAACAAATCAAAAAACCACCACCATCCAAAAAGGATGGTCTTGTTACTTGGCCATGTGCAAGATATGGCCACACTGCTTGTCTCGTGAGTAATTTAATGTTCGTCTATGGTGGATGCAATGTCAAAGGAAAATTATTGAACGATTTGTACATGTTTGATATTTCAACTCAAAAGTGGACTGAAATTATTTGTGATTCAATGTTACCTCCTCCACTCTTCAAATCTCAATCCTTCGCTGTAAACAACCAGTCCATTTACATTTATGGAGGTCAATCTACTCAAGAAAACAGCAATATTCCTCCTACCATTTCTTCCAGTTTATTTAGATTTGATATTACTGACAAGAAGTGGAATATTATTGAAATTATCACGGAAGAAGCAGATGATATTCAAAATAATAAGGCTGTTCCATGTGTTGGACATCAAACTCAAATTGTTCATGGAAAATTGTTGCGTATTGGTGGATTGGCAAATAATGTTGGTGATCCATTTGTAAAGCTTTTAAATTTGAACGACCCTGGTAGACCAATTCCACTCTGTTCCTATCTCTCAAGTAAGAGAGCAGATGGATTTTTGTGTGATGTTGTTTTCAGAGTCCGTGACGTTCTTGGTCAAGAAATTGACTCACTCAGTTATGTTCTTGCACATAAGGCCATCCTAAAGGCCAGATGTTCCTCTCTCCACAAGATGATTCTTGCCAGTACTGAAACTATGAGTACTACAAAGCTCTCCGGAACATTTAATGATGAAATGAGTGAAATTACTCTTGTAGATATTGAACAAGTTGACACTGCAGTTTTTGAGCAATATCTCAACTTCCTCTACAGTGGTAGTTTGGATTTAAAGTCTCTCAATGAGGTTAATTCATTCCTTGAATTTGCCAAGACAATATCACCAGATAATCATTATCCAGCTATTGTAAAGATTTGTACCGCGGAAGAACAAAAGGATTTGGAAGTTACCAAGCTTGTTCTATCTCAAATTCACAAAGATTTCTCCACTCTCATCAATGATCATTCATACAGCGATTTGATTGTTGTTTTGGATCAAGGTGATGCTGTAGCTCAACATGTCGGAGGACCAACAGAGGAAATTTTCGAAGAGGAACCATTTGAAATTCCAGAAACTAGCTTTGAAACTAATGATGCTACTGCTGAATTAGAACACGAAATCATGTCACCATTGACTAGAAATACTGTTCCAACAGGTGGTATTGCAGTTCACAGATTAATCATGTCAAGATCTCCATTCTTCTCAAGAATGTTTGTTACTTCTGGTATGATGGAATCAAAGGAAAGAGTTGTTCACTTGACCGATTATTCCACTGAAGTTATGCTTGAAGTCTTGAGCTATTTGTACACTGATACTATTAGACTTTCACCAAGAAATTGTCTTGGTATTTTAGTTTATTGTATCATGTTGGATTTGGTTGATATGGCTAGTGTTTGTAGAAGAATGGTCGTTTCACTTTTGGAAGATTCTATTGTTTGGTCTGTTATTGACATTGCCATGCTCTATAATGACAAGACTTTGGAATCTGAATGTGAACATTACATTTTAAATAATTTCGAAAAGCTTCGTGGTGCTGCTGGTTTCTTGAATTTACCAGAACTGACCAGAATTAAGATTAAACAATTATATGAAAAGAAAGCTGAAAAGAAATCTAAGAAATAATCTAAGAAAAATTAAAAAAGTATTTATTTAACAAAGTGAGGTTTTTTATGAAACTTGTTGTGTTTGGCGAGGGAATAATGAACGAGGAGATGCAGGTATAGAATTATCTAATAGAGCTTGTGGTCTCATCATGATTGGAGTTGTATTTCTTCTTGGTCTTTCTCTTAGAACAACCTTATTCGAAATGGTTTCCATAACATCGAGACTTTGAACATTTTTCGAAACTGTTGGTTGATTTGTTTCAACTTGTTGAGGTGAATAATTCTCCTTATCTTCCGATTGATTCAAAAATTGCTCCTTTCTCGATTGCATTCTATTAGAAAAATGATTTTTTCTATTAGTTACTGGAACTTTGACTTTTGCCAGTTCTTTCCTTAATTCTTCTTGTTTAATTCGTTCTTCTTCTTTTTTCTTTTGGAGAGCTTGTTCAATTTGTCGTTGCTCAGCAAGTTTTCTCTCTTCTACTTCTTCCTTTGCCCTGACAATGTCAGCAATCATTTCTCTATAAGAAGGATGACTAAACACATTCTCTGTTGTTGTCTTTCGGTAATTTTCTCTGGTTTCGAAATTAATTTGAATACTGGAAGTGACAGTTTGAGAATCGAGAGTCCTCATACTAGCTCTACTGATAAGGGATTTCATCTTTATGCTTGCAATAAACTATTCGAAACGATTATAATATTTTTTTTGTATTGATTACAGTAATGAATGGAGTGAGGGGGAATTCAAATAGTTCTGTTAGAGATGAAACTTTAACAAACATCATCCATTTAAAGAAATCATAATTATTAAATTAATGAAACAATTAACTGTCAAGTTCTGTCAATCCAAATCAAAGTTACAAAAAATACCAACATTACTACTATTTTCTTATTTTTTGATTAGATTTGTATTTTAATTTGTCTATTTCTGTATTTTCGAATAAAATTTACAGATTCAAAAAGAATAGTTTGGTTTCCCTTTGAGCAGATCTATACTAAAATCTGCAAATTTGTTGTATCACATGTTACAGATCTAAATTTTCTGGATCATTTCAACTAAATAACAGATTATCTAATACAAAATACAACATTCTTACAATTTTATTCGAAACTGTCAATATCTTTCATAATTCTTAATTAGATAAGAGAAATCTCATTGGAAACTATAATAACATCCCTCAATCAACTCTGGTCTTTATTTTAAATAATATAAACCTTTCGTCTATCTCTCTTTCGAATCCAATCAACAAAAAATTGTCAAAACATGTTCTCTCTTTCATTCAGTCAACCAAATCTACTGACAATCAACACTTGTAATTCATTCTCATCATCCATACATAAAAAATGTCAACTATTCCTCTATTGCAAACTGAACACCTTTCAAGCTTTCAGTTTCCAATAGCTGTAGAAGAAACTCATGACGATACTTATCTTCACTCATCAGACCATCTCCACAACTCCCCTCCAACCCTTATTCATTTGCAAAAGAGAAGATATAGTTCAGTGTCAGTAACTGGTCAATCGGACATTTCAGAAGACGAAACCACCCAAGATGATTCGAAACTTTTTAATCCACTTTCCACTCCACCCAGACGTAAATTTTCAATCCTGAATTCTCCTCAATCTGCCTTTCCTTCCCCAATTTCTCCCATATCAGGTTTAATCTCCTCCCCACTCAGCCCAAGAATTACGAACATTGTTTCACCGCTGCAAATTGCAATCCAACAATCAATGACCTCAAATACGAGTGCGCGAGATTTGCACGATTTAATGCAAATTTTGTTGGAACATGAAAAGTTGAAGAAGAGCAATCATGATGAGATTGATTCGTATAGAAATCAGATTGAAAAAACTGAAAAATTATTGAAAGAGCATGTTCAGGAGAATTCTCAATTGAAAATGACAGTGACAGGTCTTCATAAGGATGTTCAATTTTTGAGATTACAACATGAAAAGTATCAGGTTGATTATCACCATAAAATATTAGAAATGAAAAACAAGTTAGAAAGGAAAGAACGAGATTTGTCAAAATTATTGACATTATCTCAAAGATTGGAAAGGGACAATATTATTTTACATCGAATTCAAGAGTTGTTGTGTGAAAAAATTGATGCACTTGTGAAACAATTGGAAGATAAGGAAGTTGCAGTTTCGTATTTGGAGGAAATTGTGAAAATTATGCGAATGTTGGTGGAGGAGAAGAATCGTGAGTCGTATGATAAGGCTGAGCATGTTTATAATTGCCTGAATGATTTGTGTCATAAATTGGCTATTTTGAACGGAAAGGAGAAGAATGAACATTCGAATGAAAGAGTTTCGAATATAAAGAAGGATTTTGATGAGGGAATTCATTCACTTAGAGATGAATTAAAGAAGGAATTGAATGATTGTGTATCAACTCTGTATGAGAGAGTTCATGGAGATGGACTAGATGCTTTACATTGCGAAAAGAAAGTTAAATTCATTCAGACGAAACTGGAAGAATTGAAAATTCAATCAGAAGAACAAGAGAGAATTCTCCATCAAGCCAATGAAAGATTAATTTCAGAATTGGGAAAAAAGATGGAAGAAATATCCAGTTTACAACTTGGATACTCAACAACCAATACAGAAAACTAAATCTTTCTTTCCTCCTTATTCGAAAGTTGCCAATCTTCTTCATTTATTCAATAAATATCTTTTGTCAACCACAGCAGCGTAGAAATGGGCAATTAAATTGTCAATCACATTGAAGGTCCATTCAACTCGATATTGTTTCACTGTCTTGGTCAATTTTACCACAAAACTCAAACAAGGAATTTTCAAAAACCTGAAAATCCATGAACCTTATTTCAAAACATGGAAAGTTTATCAATTTTATTCCACAACAATCAAAAATTCTATTTTTTTGGCGCCCAAACAAAATTTCATAACGGTAAATTTTTATATTGTCCGACAACAGAGATTCTCGCATTGTCGAAAAAACATTTCCTGTCTCTTCTTTGGTGGAGGGTTCCAATTCGAAAAAAACTCTCTGTTGTTGCTTCTCTCAATTGTTGTTAGAGCAAAAATCACACAATATTCATCATCAAATATTATTTTACAACAACAACAACAACATTAAATAACAACAATAATAATAATATTAGAGAGGAAACTAGTTTGAACATTAACAACAGCACCTCTTGTTTTTCATCATCCGAAGAGAATGATGATGACTACAACACCGAATGTTGATATAATGATGGTTGGAAATACACAACAACAACAACAATATTCCACCAATAATCAATCACAGGTACATAACTTTATTAACGATCCCAATGATTGGAAATTAAAAGTAGTTTCTGGACAATTTCGTGATGAAGATTTAATTAATAATCAAATTGAGTCAGATGATGATGATGGTCTTTATAGTGATCATCAATTAACAATGGATGATGATTCAGATGATGATGCTTTTTTTGGAGGAAGACAACGTAACAGCCAAATTGTCATTACTCATGGCAAACATGATTTGGATTCTTCTTCATCAGATGAGGAAGAGGAAGAACATGCCAAATCACCTAAGAAGATGAAATCTTTTAGAATGGGACAAGATGAGGAAGAGGAACTTGATACTCCTGCCTTTCAACATGTCAATTCAATTCGTATGAATCATCCCTTCTATCAAAAGTATGGAGATGCTGAGAGTGGAATAACAACTGATGCTGCTTCACAACAACCAATTATTCAACAACAATCTATCATTCTATCACCTTCTTCACCTATTGACAGTAAACAACAACAACAATTGAATAATAATAATACAAAGAATGATGAACAAGAGAAACAACAAGAATTAACAACAACAACAACAACATCAATTCCAGATTGCTCATCAGACTCATCAGAATCATCAGGTTTTAATAATGAAGTGGTGTCATCATCACTTAAAGGAAGTGTGGAGCAAACGTCTACATTTGTTCCGACATTGTCCTCTAAACACGATGCAACTATTCCACAACAGCAACAACAACAATCACTAACACAAAACACAGCAACAGTTCCAACAATAATAACCGAAGTTGTTGAATTTCAACAACCTATCATCACCAACAACAACAAACAAACAGAAGAATAACACCACCACTCAATCATCTGATGAGGATCATCACCAATTTGAAATTGTTACCACAACTACCATAGAGGATGCCAATTCTACAGTACAATACACTACCACCACCGTTCCTTCTTCAACTCCTAATTTATCCAACAACCAAACAATAGCAGCCAATAATCCATACGCTTCTGAGAATGACAATAATTATGCACTCCAACAGGCACTCCAGTACAGCACTACTGTTTTTGATGATACCTCAACAGAATATATTGATGATCCTTTTGCAAGGATGGAGTCACCTTTTGTTAATAACGGTCCTAAGAGAAGTATTATTGATCCTTCTACAAGAGTACAACCAGCTCAAAAGAAACGTGTTCGTTTTGCAGATAGTGTCACTCTGTTTCCAATTACTTACATCAATGTAAGTCCGAGAGAGGAAAAGCCAAATAACTTGACTTGGTATCAACAACAACAACAACAACAACCACAACAACAATTTTCTATTGTCACTACAATTTCTAGTCCAATATCACCAACTCCTTCTTCTTCTTCTACTACTGCCCCAACACCTGGATCAGTAGTACCAAAGAGTAATGGCACCACAACAACAGCAACAGTCACAAAAACAACATCAGCAACAAGTAGTAACCCACCAAAGAAGGAAATGAACAATTCTACTCCTCCACAACAGTCAACAAACTCAACAAATGCAAAATCTACTGTATCTTCTAATAGTTCTTCAAAAGAAGCAAAAGAAGAGGATACAATTCCAAGTAATCATTTCAATGAGGACAATGAAAAGGATAATGATGATAATTCTGGAAACCCAAATGATAATTATGAGGATGATGAATTTAGAACCAATGATGGAAAGAGGAGATTTTGGGGTTTGACTGGCTACCAATATTTGGTATTGTCATCAGCTTGGCTTGGATGGGCATTTGACATTTTTGATGGAGTATTATTCAGTTATGCAGCACCAATTTGCATTCCAAATTTATTGGGATATCCTGACGATCAAATTACATCAACAGCTGCAAAGGAACAAACAGCTCTCTGGAGTAGTATTTTGAGTACTGTACTATTGTTTGGTTGGGGATGTGGTGGAGTTTTTTTCGGCTGGCTGACAGATAAAGTTGGACGATCAAAAACCATGATGATAACAATCATTGTCTATAGTATTGGAACATTTTTAGCTGCATTTTCGTTCCATATTAGTGTTTTAGTAATACTGAGATTTGTTGCAAGTCTTGGTATTGGAGGAGAGTGGTCTGCAGGTGCAGCCCTCATTTCAGAAACTCTTCCTATTGAGAAGAGAGTTATTGGAGGAGTTTTACTCTACACAGCTGCTCCTTTAGGAAGCATGGCATCATTTGCTGTTAATTATCTTATCACAAGTGTTTTACTTCAAACGACAACTAATCCAATAGTTAATGGCACAATAACAAATTCTACAATGCTCATTACTGATGGACTTATGAGTGGTGATATTAATGCTCCAGTGGTAACCGGTGGACCTATTCCTCTGTGGTTATCGTGGAGAATTCTTTTTGCTATTGGTGTTATTCCAACCATTGTTGGTATTTTTGTTAGAATTTGTGTGAAGGAACCTGATGCATGGCTCGAACAAAAGAAGAGAGAAAAGGAAGAAGAGGAAGAGGAAAATAATACATTGGAAAGTAATGAAATTAATGAAAACAATGAAACAGAATTACCACAAACACCTCCTCGTAATAGAAATGTTTCTATTGTTTCAGCAAGTCCAGCTGCTTTTCAGAAGAATGAGGATTCCATTTCTCTCAATACTGAAGATGATTTGAAGGAAATTGATCTAAATGATCAACCTGTAATGCCACCCATTAGAAGCGAGTCAGAATTCTCCAGTACTTCACTTACTCCTTTAAAGAAAAAGAAGAAGGGATCATCCTATCTTGATCTTTTTGCCAATGCCGATTTGAGAAAGAGAACCATTTCAGCCATTCTCTTTGTTTGTCCTGCCTTGATTTCATGGTGGTGCATTTCTACGTTTATTCCAATTTTGAGCACTCATCTTGCTTCACCCATTGAGGATGCAACTGAAAGAAAAATCACACAGAATCAATATTCTGTACTAGGAAATATGCTTTTTAATTTTGGAGGTTTAATTGGAACATTGCTTGTCATTCCAATTGCTATGAAATTGGGGAGACTCTGGGTTTATAGAATTTACTTCTTCTGTTCTACAATATTCATTATTATTGCTTTTGGAATTCCTGACATGTCACCATATGTTAGATTTTGTTTAATGTTCCCAGTAGGACTTTTTGTTTTTGGAGCTTTTGGCAGTTTTACATTCTATTTACCAGAGTTATTCCCATTGGAATTGAGAGGAAGAGGAGCCGGATTTACCTACAATTGTGGACGTTTTGGTACTGCAGTTTTCCCATTCATTGTTGGTATCATGGTGAGTCAGGGTGTTAATCCTCTCATTGTATTGGCTTGTCTTTCAGTTGCAACAGCTGCTGGCTTTGTGGTTTCTGTAATTCCAAAGTTTGCAGTTGAAACCAAGAATTTGGTTCTTCACTAAGTAAAATAATGTAAAATAATTTATTGACAAGACGACTTGGCTTGATTGAGCAATTCTTTCATTTCTTCACTCTTGGCAAAAGTTTCCATTGTTTGTCCTTCTATGGTTTCACTGATTGCTTCTGGTTTATATTTCAATAACAGTGTGACAATATCGAGATTATTTCTTTTAATGGCAATATGTAGACATGACTGATTTAGAATAATTAACAATATTTAAATTTAGTATTATTAAACCTACAAACTATTTCAAAATTTGATATTTATCGAATAGTTTAATTGTAAATAGGTTGAATATCCACTTACTTTCTAAATCAGGATTTTAATATTATTTAAAATAAAAAATGCTTACAGCCTATCACAATTAATATTTACTCATCCAAAATACTCACAAACTATTCCTATTAATATCATCACACTTTCCATTCACTTACTTTCTTCCGATATTAATTAATTAAAACAACTTTATCAAATCCTTACATGCTTCCGTATCCATTGGTCAATCCACAACAAGAATCCAAAAAACCTACATCAAAACTAATTTCCACTCCCTCCTCAATTCCTTCCTTCACCAATTCCAATTTATTGCTCTTGCAAGCATTCCACAATTCGATTGGTTGCATTTTGTTTTTTTTTGATTTTTAAAAAAAAATGGAAAATGTAAAAACGGAACAAGAACCTTCTGAAAATTGTCATCATGATGATGCTGGTAATAACAATTCATCATCATCCAAGGCTGGTTCATTCTTATTTGAACATTTATTGCCAAGAGAGGAAGAAATTAAAAAGTGGATTTTAAATTGTTGTTGGGAAAATTCGGAAGGAGCATCATCTTGGTCGGAAGAAGCAAATAATGATGTTTCGAGTTTATCTACTAGTATGAAACATGTTAGAAAAATTATTAGATTATTATTGGATTTTTTGAATGAATTTTCCTTCTTGTTTAAATTTATCAACTCACAAAATGGTGATGCCTATGATGGACTCGAGAATTATGAGAAATTCAAGGAAGAACAACACTTGTTGTACTTTATTTGGAAGGATCATTATGGAAATTGTTTGCCTGTGGAGTGGCAAGACTATTTTCAAACATGTAGTGATGAATTATTGATAGAAATGATGAATTATACGCAATCTGAGGATGAATTGTTTATTAAACAATTTGAGGAGGGTACAATTTTTGGAAAGGATGGAATGCCAAATTCTGTGAAGAGATTCCTGATGGGTTGCAGAGTGCTGAGATTTCACAAGCACGTAATTGAAAATCCCAAAGATATCATTTCTTACCTGTCCTCTCCAAAGTTTGATTTGAGTTGTGAGAGTGGTGAAATTGCCAACTCGAACGAACTTACTAGAAATATGTCGCCAAAGAAGATTCACGAAATTGAGAGATTGGCAGAATTTATTAGCTACTTTTCCTATTCTTCAGATGATCAACAATTAGAAGATGTTGAAAGTGTCATTCCAACAATTCTTGGTAGGTTTTAATAGTTTTAATACTTATGAAATTATAGATCTCGGCTCTGGAAAGGGTTATCTTTCACATGTTCTCTTCACCAAGTATGGATTAAATGTTGTTGCAGTTGACCACAATGAACAACTCGTCCAAAAAATTCAAGCTAAGGCTCAAAAAGATGTACAGAAAAAGAAGAAACAACAAAAGAATCAACTCAAAGCCATTGCCTCTCATTTAGAATGCAACAGAGAACAATTGTGTAAGATGGTTAATCAAATGTTGGAAACAACAAAATCGATCAGAGAGGATGTTATTGGAAATAATTGTATTGTAGGTCTACATACTTGTGGTGATTTGTCTTGCATTCTAATGGACATGTACGTCAATGATGTGAGACATACCCAAAGTTCTCTATTGAAATCACTAGTTAATGTTGGATGCTGTTATCACAAGCTCACTGAAAAGTATCACAAACAACATGTAAATACTAGCTCTACTAACAACAGCAGTGAAAAGATTGACCAAGCATCAAACTCTGAGGCATTGAAATTTAGTGGTTTTCCACTTTCTCCCTACACGAATGATTATGTTGTGAATAATCTGGCCAATGGTTTTCAATTCACTAGATCTGGACTCATTCTAGGATGTACAGAGAATACCATTTGGAAAGATTCCTTGAGCGTCTCAAACAATTCAACAACAATAGAAATCATTCCAGTACATGACTATTGGAAGAGAAATGCATTCAGATGTGCTATGGAATATTTCCTGCATGAATTTGTGGAAAAGAACGAGGAAGGTATTGAACATCCAGTTGTCTACAGTTTTGGAAGTATTGCAGAACAAAATCTATCGAGCACAAGTTCTTCAACTCAATCTTCATGTCCAGATTTTGTCAAGTATGCCCTAGCTGTCTTGCAACGATTGTCCAAAACAAGTGTACTCTCCAAGAAATTTCATAGAGAGGATATTGTAGAAATGGCCATCCAAGATGAGTATTCTCCTGAGCTTGTGCAGGAAATTGGTCAATTTTACATTCAATCTTGTGGAGCTCAACCTGAAACTGCAAGAATCAAGAAAGTTGATATCTTTTGGACTTTAAGAGCCATTATTGGTCCAGTCATTGAAAGTCTAATCCTCCTCGATCGATACCTCTTCCTTTTAGAAAACAACACTCACGCTGATATTGTCCAGCTATTTGATGAGGACATTTCACCTCGTGCCTTTGCACTCTTTGCCCACAAGTAAACTGTGCTTCCCATATCAACCCTATCAATCAAACCCTACAACTCCCTGACCTATTCATTCCATATACTATTAATTTCCATTCCAACAACACAACATCAAAACACAACAATTGCCATCAATTCTTACATTTTTCCTGAACAGAACTCTCTCAAATGAACTTGAATTTACTAGAAAAAACACCTCGCAAGAACAAACGACGATGAATGCCTCGGAGCTTTTACTTTGCATCATTAAGATGATGATAATCATGATGCTTATTGTTAGTTGCTTGATGGTAGATTGGGGTCATTCCGCACTCGTTGATAAGAAGTTTAAATTAAAGACAGTGTGTGGTGATTTTAATTATCCTTACTTTTATCGTCCAAAGGGATTGTCATATTATTCGGGTTCTATTTATGTTGCTAATACAGGACAGCATAATATTATTAAATGTGATCCTACTAATGGCGCCATTCAAATAGGTAAGTTTTATTTACTAATAATAGTGATTATTTAATATTTACATTATATAAATTTATATATATGAACAACAATAATAATAGTGGCTGGAGCATCAGGATATTCTGGATTTGTTGATAATTTAGCACCATTACAATCTTACCTAAATACTCCTAGTGATGTTTGGGTTGAACAGGACAATGTCTATTACATTGCAGACACCCTTAATAGAAGAATTAGAAAAGTCTCCAATGGAATAATGACAACACTAGCAGGGGATGGAGTTGCAGCAAGTAACCCTGACTTTATTACACCTGTTCAATTGAACGATCCAAAGAAAATATTTCTTTATGGTGGCAATTTGTACTATGCAGAATATGAAAAGATTAGAAATATGCATAATATGCAACCAACAAGCATTGAAACCATAGCTGGAAACACATACGGATCTACTATTGGAGTTTCTGCTCTAAGCTCACAAGTTAAGGAGCCTCAAGGTCTTTATTTCTATTCGGACAATAAGTATTTAATAGCGGATACTGGAAATCATCGTATTTTAAAAGTAGAAAATAGTGTAGTTAGTTTTATTGCTGGAAGTAGTTCTCAAGGATACTCAACAGGTTATGCCATAGGTTCTCAACTTTCATCACCAAATGGTGTTGTAGCTTTGGGATCTTCAGTAGTATTTACAGATACTGGAAATCATTGTATTAGAAAGATTAACACAGATGGAACTTTAACTACCATTGCAGGAGTTTGCACTACTTCAGGTTATAACTCAGATCAAGCAGATGCCACCAATGCTTGGCTCTCATCACCAAGTGGAATAGTTGAAGTAAATGGTGATTTATACTTTACGGATTCAATGAACGGAATTATTAGAAAGTTGGAAGCTTATTGTGATACTGGATATGTATCATATGATAATTACCAATGCACATTAGCGACGGTTGTGCCTCAATGTTTTGGAATTAGTGCTTCAGACTCTTCAGTTTGTTCAGGAAGAGGATCTTGCACAAGTTACAACAATTGTGTCTGTAATTCTACATATTATGGATCTCAATGTAGTTATGATTATTCTTGTGGTGGATTGAGTCCAGATTCATCAACAGCATGTAACGGAAAAGGTGTTTGCCAGTCACAAGATAAGTGCCAATGTATTTCTGGTATTGTTGGTAATTTGTGTAATCTTGAGGCCAATTGTTTTGGAATCTATTCATATACAAGCACGGTTTGCAGTGGTAAGTTTTTCATTGGAAAATTAAGTTAATACTAAATTTAAACTAATAAGGTAGGGGAACATGTGTGAGCAATGACAAATGCTCGTGTAGTGATGGATATTATGGATCTCAATGTTCTTACAGTTATGCATGTAATGGAATAGCTCCAGATTCATCAAATGTTTGTAATAGTCGTGGTGTTTGTACTTTGACTGGTTATTGTTCTTGTTATTCTGGTTTTTCTGGAGGATATTGTGAAAATATTAATCCAACTAATTCATTCATGTGTTTTGGATTTTATCCATACGAATTAAATGTTTGTGGAGGTAAGTTGGTTTGATTCCAAATTTGTTGGTTAATATTTCGTTTATTAGCAAATGGAAATTGTATTGGCACTAATGTATGCTCATGTAATAAGGGATATTATGGATCTCAATGCTCGTATAATTATGCATGTAATGGAATAGCTCCAGATTCATCAAACGTTTGTAATAGTCGTGGTTCATGTAATTCGAATGGTACATGTTCATGTGTATCTGGTTATCAGGGATCATACTGTGAATCAGCACAGTCAACACATGTAGTGAGTTCTGACACTGGCATTTGGATTGGAATTGGGCTGGCTATTGGAGTTTCTGTTCTTTTTCTTGTTGTGATATCCGTTGGGTTGTTAATTATTGTCATTACCTTGCGATTAAGAAAAAAGAAACATAATGAAGCAAGAAGAATAGATCAACTTAGAAAAGATAATGATGAGCAAGCTAGAATTCAATCTAACAAGGAAAAGCCACAAGAGATGATTAACCTTACTATCACTACCAATAGTAATTCATCAGGTGTTAATGCTATAGCTAATACCAGTACTAATCAACCATCATCTTCATCTACTAATACTCAGATACAACCATCTTCAACAATGGGATCATACACAAGCTATCTTAATAGTAACAGTAATCAAAACACAGAATTATCCTATGCCATTTTGAATCAGGGTGAGGACAACTCTTTTAGACCTCCTCCAACCATTATTAAACAAGCAAGTAAGACGAATGATGGTATGGATATATTCTCATCAAAGGATCACACCTATAAGATAATTAAGGTTTTGGGACGAGGAGGATTTGGAACGTGTTATTTGTGTGCAGATGTTGAATCGAATGATTTGATTGCTGTTAAGGCAATCCCAACAAACTTGAACGACTTTTCATCTATTTTCAGTGAATTCTCCAAATGTTTGGCATTCCAACATCCAAACTTGGTCAGGTCATATGAATATTTACAAGGAAATGGAATGATGTGTCTTGCAATGAAATTCTACAAGTGTGGAGATTTGGAGCATATTTTCAGAAATGTTGCCAAGAGAAAGCCACCATCTGATGAATTATTAATTTCAATCATTAATCAGGTGGGTGAAGGTCTTGATTATTTACATAGAACCCAAAAGGTCCTCCATCGTGATATCAAGCCTAACAATATTATGGTTGATGAATTTGATGAAGATAATTCAAAGATTTCAGTTGCTATTGGAGATTTTGGAGTTTCAAAACAAGCTACTACTGCTCACACTTTTACAGGAACAATTTATTATGTTTCACCTGAATTATACGCTGGTTCAAAGGATACTTCATATCCAACTGATATATTTTCATTTGGTGTCACAATGTACTTGATCATATGCAACCATTTTAACAATATGAGACAAGGTATTACTCAATTATCAATGGTTGAAGGTTATGATAAGGTTATGGATAAGGTTAGAAAGGAGTTGAATGCTACAGGTATCAAAGATGATATTACTGAATTGGTAATGAAAATGTTATCTAAGGAACCTGGAGAAAGACCACTCGCTGAAGAATTAGCCAATTTCTGTAAGATTAATGTTTGTTAATCTATATTAAATATATAATGATTTATTAAATTACAAACAACTTGCATTTCTACATAATTGATTGTAAACAGCATTAGCCACAGCAACACCGGAATTCCAACCAGCTTGATTGGCATATTCAAAGTGAATACCACCATAAATTCTGGATTTACCAGCTTCCTTAGCAGCATCTGACAATTTGTTAAATGTTCTTGTGTGATATTTGTAACCATCACTTACTACATCAAAGGAGATGTCATCACTTCCCAATACTAAACTCAAAATTCTTGCAGCAGCACCAGAGAAGGTTGAGTGTCCACTGGTGTATTCAGGGAAAGGTGGAGTTGCCAACAATGGGAACCAATTAAGATTTCTATTTCTATTATTTACAGCTGTCACTGGACGAAGTGCATTATAGAAATATTTGTGATCCCAAGAAACAATACCAGCATCAGCAAGAGTACAACCTAACAATTTGAAAATGGCAGATACTTTGAAAATGTCAGTAATTCCTTGGCTTCTAATAATTGATTGAAGGATGACATTCCAATGTCCTGGTGGAGTGGCAGTTCCTGCACCATCATCCCAGAACCAAGCAATTCTTCTTTGATCAAAAGTTCTAACACTTGAATCATTTCTACCATACAAGAATACTTCATCATAGGAAGTTTCGAATAAAGGAGTTCCCAATTGTGGAGGTGGACCTTGTCTAAAACTTTCAACATTTTGAATTCCAAAAGGTTCAACATTTGGCCATTGAGGCAACAATGGATTTCTGACATAATTTGGAGCATGACTTTGATAATCCATTGCTCCATCTCTAAATTGATAATCAACAAATTCTGCACTTCCATCATTATCTCTAGATCTCAAAACTCTGTCAGCTGTCGTCACTGCAGATTTACCAATTTTAGTTAATTCTGAAACGTCATATTGTGAACATCCATTACATTGTAAAGCTCTCTTCAATGCAGCATTATAACAATCAATATTATTTGGAAATAATTGAGAAAGGACACGATGAGCAGAAAAGGAAATTGTGGTTGCAATGGTTGCGTAGTCACATGCCTTGTTTGAGTTTCTGGATCTTCTGCAGGAGCCAAGGGCATCGTCTGTGGCTGTGTGAAGAATGGCCATGGCTCTGGATGCAATTGGTGGAGCAACTTTGAAATCTCTGACAGTTGACAGTAAAACATTATTCCACTTGACAATGAAATCTTCATTGAAAATGTCTTTTTCAGTGGTAATTGCAGCACATTTTGGAGCAATATCAGTTTGACTGATTGGGAAAGTATGAGAACTGACAACACTGACATAATATTGATTAGTGACAGGATTAATTCTAATCAAATTCAAACCTCTAGCCATTCCTTTACCCCAAATATTTGAACTCAATTCACAATCAACAACCAATGAACCATCTGCTGAAATTCTCATTGGCATTGGACTAGACCAAGTAATTCTAGGAAAGGCAATACTACCATTGACCTTCCAAAAATAGGTATAAAACCCAAATGGTAAAATTGAACCTGTGTCCACCCAAGTACCATTTTTACCTCCGTAAGCTCCGTGGACAACAAGTGGTTTAGTAAGCATGATTGCAAAGGCATCATCATAAACTCCCAAATCTTGTGAACCTGCCAAATTTGGATAACCTCGAACTTTTGCATAGTGAACTACATATTGATCTCCCACAGATGTGAAAAATTGTGCACCATCTGGCAAACGAGCTCCATTATCAGAAACATCCAAACCATATTGATTTCTATAGAAATTTGTTGCCTTTTCATGAGCATCTGGATAACGAGTGATTGGTGCAATGTTTCCTGCTTGAATGCCATCTGCCAAAATTGACAGGTGGAATTGAGCATCGTATTCTTGAGGATTGGTTTCTGTGGTTGGTGAGTAGGCATTGATTAGAAGAAATGGTGAAAAAATCAATGTAAACACGAGAAGGAGTCGTGTTAGTGGAATTGACATTTGGCGTTTTTGAGATTGTTTTTTTTTTGATGATTCTTAGAATGTTGCCGACAGATTATTGAGATTTAAAGGTATTGGATTGTGTGCTTATCTTTCACCTTCCATAAATTTGTTGCATGACAGCTAGTGACGTTGTCGTGTCGGCAAGTATTTAAAGCAGTTTTGAGCTGGAGATCATCCTTATTCTATCTCATTCCATTTAAACTCAATAATTGCGGTTAGCATTAATAACAATCTCCTTCTTGTTAAATCAGTTTCCTTCCAAATATTAAAAATTGGCAACTGACATTATCATTTTTTTAAACCAATCATCATCACTTTCATTCCATTAAGGAAAGAGATCCAGTCGGTATCTTTTTCTACCAAAATCCTCTTTCCTGCCACTTGTCATTATTTACATCATTCGAAACCTTTCAAACAACATTTTCAAAAAAAAATCCAAATTTCAAATCCACACAAAATGCTAAAACTCTTCCTCACTCTACTTTTAGTAACTTTCCTTTTAAATTTCTCAAACCAAGCTTGCGATCCTTCAAAATTATTCGATGCTGAATTGAGTTTATTATTTGATGATGCGTTGCCATTCGATTTGATTCCAAAGAGGATGGAATATCCATTGAATACTCAACGTTTTACAAATGCCAAGTTGGTTGAAGGTTTACAATTTTTCAAAACCAGATTTGGAATTGACTTGAATGTCAACAGTCAAAAAGAATTCAGATTGGAAAAGGGAAGTTTTGAAGGTTATAGTGTAGTTGGTGCAGTTACTAAGAAATCAAGATTCTTTGGAAGTCCATTGATTAGAGTTTATGCTGACATGTTGACAGTTGTCAGTTTGAATTCCACTCAAATTGATCCATTGACTCAATATCCAATTCCAAAGGATGCTATTGCTCAATTTGGTTACTATTCATTCTATTACAGAGCTAACAATACTTTATTTACTGAACCTATCAAAGTCACAAGTCAAACTTTCCAAGAAGGTTGGAGAGATGCTCAACAAAACCTTGACCATTCACGTAATATTATCTTTGACTTGTATTCTCCAGAGTGGGGAGTTGGTTCTTCTCAAGGTGTTGTCACAATGCCAATGCATGATTCTACATTAGGTAAAAGTCAAGTGTCAATGAGAGAATGGTTGAGATTTCCACCTGTTGGAACTGCCAAGAGAGGTGATGTTACCACTTGTCAATCTTGGTTAAATTAAATATAATAGAATATGATAAATATGCTATTTTCAGTATTTTCTTAAAATTCATTAATTTTTTCAATAGTATTTCATCAAATTAAGAGGGATACCAAGATACTTTACAATTTTCTAATTGAATAAAATAGTAATGTTGTACAAATATTAAAAGTACATGTTGAGTTAATGGTAAATGTACTTTTAAAATTCACGTGTATTATAACTTGCCCAAAATTTATCAGAGAGATTTTCTACTTATTATTGCATCCCAGAATTGATATTTCTAAACTTTTATTTTTAAAACCACAAGTTTCTTATTTCCAATCACGTTTCTCTTCAACTCGCCAGAATATGTTAACGATAGATGAGTAACCTTGCTGCCATAACCGGCTCTTTTCGGTGGGGAAGTGGAATAAGGGTGGTTGCTGTCCTATAAAGTGCTGAAAGTGCTTGATTGCTCCCACTTCCTTTTTACTTTTTACTTTGGATTGAGCAATTCAATAACTTTGGTACTCTTCAAGAAAAGGCGAAGGAAGAGGAACCTTGATACCTCTCTCTAAGGCTATGAAAGTTATGTGTGAGTTAAATGGAATAACAAAAGTTCTCAACCATTCCTAACAATACATTCACAGTTTTCCAACTTGTTCGATTTAGTGAAAATTACTTATGATTTTCCATGATGAAAAATAAATTCCAATTTCATGATGATAATCCACCAATAAAAATTACTACTATTTAGATATCATGTTGAGATGATGAAAGTTTGGTGTTTCCATCATGTAAAACCACTCCGAAAATCATCATCATCCATAGAGGCCATTTGTTGAATATTTCTTGATTCTGAAATCGGAATTATTGGTTTTATCAATCACAAGTAAGACTCCAATCTGCCAAGAATTCATCCTTAATAGATGAATTCAGTGAATCAAATCTTGATATTCAAATATTTCTTTAACTTTATTAATAAACAAAGGCAGCAGAAGGAACAGTGTTGATACCACATCTTCCAACTCCTTTGACAATTCTAAAGTATCCATCTTCTCCAAAGTCATATCCCCAACTGGTTAAGAAATTCATAAAGTTTCAATAAATTATTCTCAAAACTAAACTTACCTATTCTTAACAATCCAATAAGGTTGTGGCTTACCAAACCAGAAAGTTTCAAGACCATAACCAACAATTAAAACACCATGGTCCAATTGAGTTGGATCACACCAAGCAGGATCAGCAATTCCATTATTATAATTTTGTAAAAAGTCAGCATTCAAAGCAACAGCAATTGGTCCATTTTCAGCCAACCAATTAGCCATTTCAGTTTCATTAGTCGACAACATGGTCCAATTAGACAATTTAGCAACAAAATTAGCTGGTTTCACTTCACACTTGTATCTTTCAGCATAGTAAGGATAATCCTTTTCAGTGACAACTCCTCCTGCCTTCATCAAGTATTGATAGGCCGACCATTGCAATCCTCCATTACATCCATCATCACATGATTGTTGATTTTCAAAAGTTACACAATTATTATCACAATCGACAAGTTGTTGCTCTGAGAAGGAAACGAGTTGCTTGTGTTTAATGGCATAGGAACCTTCAATGGATCCAATGGCAGAAAATGCCCAACAAGATCCGCATTGACCTTGGTCTTTGACACCAGTGATAGCTCCATGATTTCTCCAATCATAATGCTGTAAATTTCAAAATTTCAATTCATTACAAAACAATTTCACATTTTACAAAAATTGTAAACTTTTCAACTTACATCAGGAGCAGGTTTGGCATAACTATTAGACACCATCTTATTAGAATCCATTCTCATCATCTTTTGAATCTCCTTTGGTGTCTTCTTTTCCATCAAATAAAACTTTCTAAACTCGTCACTTGTCAAATCAGAAAACTTTGTAATGCCATAATTATTATTTCCTTCTCTGATATTCATTCTACGACTAGTTTCGATATTTTCTCTAAAAACCTTCAAACGATATTCATATTCTTCTGGTCCTTTGTAAAATCTTTGGAATTTACGAGTAAAATCAAGGAAATGATCTCTGACAGCTGTTTCAGAAAGTGGTTGATAGGTTTCTTGATCAAAAGCAAGAATACCACATGCTAAAATCACGAGGAATGTCAAGGTGTAAAGTAATTTCATTTTTTTTGTGATGTTTATTGGAAATTTGACTTTTGATTGATGAGAATTTGTGCGAAATGGTTTTCAAATTGGTGAACTGGAAGATAACAAATATGTGCATTTTGTAATCTCACTACAATTTTCTTTTTGAAATTTGTATTTTTTTCAAAATACTTGAAGAGTTTCGAATAAAAAATTAGATTTCAATATGAAATGTATGAAGAATCCTTTGAACAACTTTAGAATAGGCAAAATTCAATATTGTAATCAATTTATCTGAACTTTTAAGCCAACGAACTATTGCCCTCATTTGGCGTTTTACGACTGTCAATTATCAAAGCGAGTTTGACAGCAAATTTCCTTAAAAAAAATACCGTTTCTGTGTGGCTGTGCTGTGTTCTTGCAAGACAAACAATTCCACCGTTAATTTCATCACAAAGTTCATCATCATTCGAAAAATTAAAAATTAATTATTGGAAAGATTTCGAATAACAATAAGAAATGCTAAACGACGAACATTCGACAGTTTCTACGCCCAGAGGAAGTTCATCCAAACAATCATCTTCCGATAGAATAGAAACTCTCTTATCCGAATACAAGTTTCGTATAGAAGCAATATTCGATTATTCTCCAGCAAGAGATACCTTTCGTAAATATTTAAAGAAAGTTTGTTTAAACGAAGAACCTTTCATGTTCTACGAAATGGTCGAAAACTATCAAAAAACAAGATTAGACAAGAATCGTTTAGAATTGGCAGCTGACATTATCAATCAATTTATTGTTGTCAACTCAAAACATGAATTAAACATGTCAATGGCTATCAGAAATGAAATTCTAAAACAACATGCTCAAATCTTGGAAAAGAATCAAAACCTGCCAAATTTGGAATTATTGACATGTCCTTCAGATTTATTTGCCAATGCTCAAGATGTAATTTTTACAGAATTGAAACAAGATAATTTTCCAAGATTTGTCAGATCGAAAGAATTTAAAAAATTTATCATGAAGGAATTTAAAAAGAATGAAACAATTTTTGAAATGTTGGGAGATAAGAAAGATGATGATGGTGAGTTGAGTTTTTTTTGTAAATTTGGAAAATTAATAATGGAAAATATGTTTTGGAATAATGGAAATAATTGGAAAATTGGAAAATTGAAATTATTGTAAAATTTATTGTAAATTTTTTTGTAAAATTTGACAGTAGTGTCAATTGATCCACATTCAATGTATTTGAAAGAACATAATGAAACAACTGCTGATTGTCCACTCATTGATACCACTTCATTCTATGTAACTCCAAAAGATTATGAATTGGTGAAGGAAATTATTTCAACTCTTTCAGATCCAATGAAATGGAATGTCGTGAGTGAGAAATCAGGTTCCAAAACACTCGTCTCTACTAAGGCATTCTATTTCAATGAGAAGGAAGGTGCCTATCCACTAACATGCAGTACGGGAATGTACACTGGACAACATAAGCAATTTTTCCACGTCATTTTCTCACCTGCTTTTGAAAAGAACATGAAAAGAATATTTAAAACGAGATTTCAATTGGAACATTTGAAAATTGATGCTAGTAAGGGAATTGAATTTCCAAATACTGTATTTTGGGGAGAATTGAATGTAAGTTGAATTTGTTTCAAGAAAATTAACTCAATTTATTATTCGTATTTAAATATTACAAATCTATTACAATGGAAATAATGGCAATCGCATGATTCGATAGGCACCAATTATAATGAAGAAGAGAGAGCTCGTAGTGGCCAGAACCATTATTCCAGATCAATACGATCCAGAAACTGGTCAATTCAACCGATATGTCATGCTTCAAAAGCCAACCAATCATCCAGAATGTCCAAAAAAGGATTCAACCATTCGATGCTCGCTCTACACTGCAATCATTGCTGAAAAGAAAACAGCAGACACGATGAGATATTACATTTTTGACACAGTTGACTTTAAGGGAAGTGTTCCCAAGTTTGTGATTAATAAGGCAAGCAAATTATTTGCTGCTGGAATTAACAAAATGTTGAGGAGTATGATTAAGCATAAAATAGACGAAACTCAATTACTTTCGTGTAATGGAACTTTGGAAATTATGAAAGAACATGAAAATTATTTGAGGGAGAAATTAACAAAGGAAATGGAACATAATCAAGCAGATTCGAATGAGGAACCTAAAGGTGAATTATCGACTTCTTCATTGAAACAGTCAGTGGAAGATTCGTCCACTCATGAAAGTCAAATTCCACCAAACGAAGAATCCAACATTCCAGAAAACAATTTTGAACAATAATAATCTATCCAATTTTTAATTAACTTTTTACAAATTTCTTAAGAAGATTAGTCTGTTAAATATTAATAAGCATGATAACCAATAGCAACCATAATTCCAGAAGAAAACAAAAACAGCAATTCCAAGGAATCTTCGTTTGTACTTGAAATATTGTTTAAATTTGTCAACTCTTGTGTCAAACTTCTCGAAAAAAAAGTACCAACACTGCCAAACACAGAATTCTTAATTAAAACAACTTTTTTATTTGAAATTAAGTGGAATTTCACAGAGAGAACCATCAGAATATCCAACAATCAATAAAGGAATCGTACACTTGTTGAAATCAGATTCGAATTTCATACAAGAAACACCTTTCTCATCACCCATTGGAAGAAATGCAACTATTCTACCACTTTCATAATCAGTTACACGAACTAAACCTTTAGAACAAGCCGACACAATCCATGGCTTTCTAAATTGGGAAGGAACGAATTCCATAGACGAAACTGAACCAGGATGCATGAAACCAAATTCATTATCCGACAGAATTTCCCTCACCTCATCATCCATTTCTTCTTCATCATCCATTTCAGACATGGACATCTCAACCAATGGAACGCTTTTCAATACGACAACGGAAGAATTAGACGAAATGGCACAAGTTTGAGAGCTACCGTAAAGCCACTTGATGATTGATGGTTTCTTTGGTAGAGACAATGGAACTATTTGCTGAGATTCAGTATTCAGGATGATTGCCATGGATTCTAGCATACCACAAATGCAATATTTTCCATCTTCACTAAAGCTGGACATTTGGAAACTTCCTTTTATGGAAATGTTTAGTTTGGCATAGAGGGAAGAGTCTGTGAGTAGGATGTTTCCATAGGAAGAGATGGCTAATGAGTTGGTTTTTTGATTGTAGGCCAGACAAGAGACAGTTGACTTGAAAGTATTGTTTGTTCTCTTGAGGATTAGTTTGTTTTCTTTTGAGATGGAGAAAGTATGAACTTGATTGGAAGAAGCAACTGCAAGTTTCTTACTAGTTTGCATCCAGACCATTGATTCAATCCATTGACCACCATCGATTTCGTGCTGATCCAATTTAATCAATTCTAGGGATTGGAAAGTTTCGTCTCCCTTCTTCTGAACTTTCCACAATGAAAGAGAACCATCTTGACTCGCACAAATCACAAAGTTTCTCTCATTCTCCAACTCAACTATCAACATGCTTAATAATCCATCTTGATGAGCATTGATTTCTCTGTGCAGAACTTTCCTATTGGTTGAATTGACCAAGACAACCTCACCATTAGCAAGTCCCAATACCAAAATTGAATCTTGACCATGGACACATGTGTTTGGCAACCATTCCATGCATGTAATGTACTCACTCATTGGTGTGTCCAATTGCCAGGATGGCTGCAATTGTGGAAGTTTGGATTTGGCGCTCTTTTTTGCCTTCTGTGATGGTATCATGACGAAAAACTAAAGTAACCGACAAATTACAAGCTAAATTGCTCAGAAAATAAAAATCTGTGAAAAAGTATGGAGAGGAATTTGACGTATTTTTTCACCAATTATTCGCCAATTCTGGTGGAGCGGTTGTGGAGGTAAAAAATTTTGCGTCATTTGTGTAAATTACAATGGCAAATGATGCAGGTTAAAGGTGAGTACATGAGGAGTCCATGATTTGTTGAAGGTGTAGTGTGGGAAATATTTAAAAACAAAAATTGGAATATTACTGAGTCACTCAAGAACAAATAGAAAAAGAATAAGACACATTTTTCACACTAGTAAATTCAGATGAAGAAGGTTCCAGTTTCAGTCATTACAGGTTTCTTAGGAAGTGGAAAGACTACTTTGATTAACTACATTCTCACTCAACCTCATGGATACAAGATTGCCATCATTGAGAATGAATTTGGGGAAGTTGGAATTGATGACGCATTGGTTGTTCAAGCCAATGAAGAAATATTCGAAATGAATAATGGATGTATTTGTTGTACTGTTCGTGGTGATTTGATTGTAGGTTTTGCACACCTTTTTTCTCAATTTTTAATATTTCCAAATTTGTAACATTTAAACTGTGCATAATTATCAGAGAATTTTGGGAAGATTAGCAAAGAGAAAGGATAAATTCGATTACATTCTCGTTGAGACATCAGGTATGGCTGACCCAGCTCCTGTCGCTCAAACATTCTTTGTTGATGATGACATTTCTGAACAATATTATTTAGATGGAATCATTACCATAGTGGATGCCAAACATATTTTACAACATTTATTAGAAGAAAGGCCAAAAGATGAAGAAAATGAAAGTGTTGAACAAATTGCCTTTGCTGATCGAATCATTTTAAACAAGATTGACTTGTTGAAACAAGACGAAAGTTCAGTATCTTTAGAAGAGGTCAAGAAACACATTCAATCAGTCAACAAATTTGCTCCAATCATTGAAACCAATCATTCCATCATTCCAGATCTTTCCTCTCTCCTCAACATTCGTTCATTCGATGTACAAAAGATTTTACAAATGGATCCAGACTTCCTCAAAGATATGGAACATACTCATGATACTTCTGTTGGTTCTGTAGCCATTGTCGAGAAGGGAATGATCAACCAACAATTATTCTCAAGATGGTTAAGAGGATTATTGAGTGAAAAGGGTGCAGACATTTACAGATCTAAGGGAATTGTAAAATCTCAAGAGTTGGCTGATGAAGATTCTCAAATTACAAATTCAAATGAAGAATTTGTTATGGTTTTCCAAGGAGTTCACATGATGATGGATATGAAAGTGATGCCAGTTGCCAAATCTAAAGTTGGCAATGTCAACAAGTTAGTTTTTATTGGAAAGAATTTGAATAGACAAGAATTGGAACAAGGTTTCAGAAATTGTTTACAAGAATAAATTACACTACTTTTCCACTAATGAATTTAATCCAACATCCTTCTCACTCCATTTCTATTCGTTGGAGAATAAGTTGCTGCAATTCTCTCAACTAGCTTCAAAACCTCAGTTGGACTTGCCTTCTCTGAAATTCCCAATTCTGAACGATCTCTCAGGACACATCCATTCTTTTGGATGCAGAGTCCAATTCCTACTTGAATGGTGGCAGCTGGTGCATTGGATCCCCAACAAACATCCACCAAGTTACAACCATAATAATAGAAACGTTGGTCACAAGAAGAGAAAACTTGACCTTGGTGTGGAAAGTTGGACATGCAATCAAGGACACAAGCTACACATTTTTGTGATTGAATTCCTTTGAATGGAACACGATCTCCAACTTGTTTGTTGAGTGGTCCAGTAATTTTGTAGTAATCTGGATTGGCATCGACATTTGACTTGGCAGTTGTTGAGATGGCATTGTAGACAAGTAGAGTATCACCTGTAACTTCGTTTTCCTTTGGAGTCATTAACATGAGTGTAGTGGCTCCTCCTTTCTTCTTTCCATTATTCGAAAGTAGAGTATTACTCTTCAATGTTAAATGAACATGTTCTTCATTAGATGCATAGGAAAGAACAACCCCTCCACGTCCACGATTAGCAGTGCTGTAACCTGGATTTTCAGGTCCTCTACATTGACTGGCAGTTGACTCAACATGTGCTGTCAAGAAATATACAGACAACAGCATGATACAGATGGACACCACCATCCCAACACTATGTTTTAACATTTTTTCAAGTATGATGGTTACAGTGGTTGTTAATACCGAACTGTCGCTTAGTGACCTGATGATTATGCGGATAATGTTTTTTGTGCGAAATTATGGATGTTTGATTACAAATTGAAATAAATAGTTCTTTAAATGCAATTTCCGTATTTATTGCATTATTTGTAATCATTTTTCACAATCAATATATTTTACAATAATTCCACTTCATTTGTTCATGGAGTTCCTTGATTATTGTACAATTGTTCCAAATCCTTTTCACAATAATTAGAACAGTAATCGTAGAGTACTTTGGCCAACAAATTGCTATCCTTGTCTGGAGCTTTGAATCCATTTTGTTTGTACTCCTTGATTGAATTCAAGAGTCCACTATGAGTGGTTTGACTGAGTTTTTTCAGAGCAGATGAAGTGCTTGTGAGAATATTCTTGTTGAGCATTGCTCCAATGTTGAAAGAACGAGTTTGGACATAACGAACTCTATTCTTATCCTGTAATAATTAAGATAATAATTAAATATTAAATAAACATGATAAATAAACAGTTATTCAAATAATACTTACAACCATTTTGTAAATGCGTGATGAAACGAGTGCACTCTTGGCACTATTCTTTTCAAAATCACTAGATTTGATGAGGAATGAATTTTCCACCATCTTTTCTCCAATAAATTCACTCTTGCTTGAAATGACAAGGCCAATTGTTCTGGAATCAAATTTGGAGTTCAATAAAACAGCGCCATACTTGCCAGTGGATGAGCTCTTATTGATCGGTATGTACTTGAGGTATTCAACTTTTGGCAGAAGGGTGTCAAAGTGATATTCTGAATAGGTTGCCTTGACAACATCATCCATGGAGGCGTTAACATAACCAATGGTCTTGTTATTAATCAAAGCAAGGTTTTCCTTTGAGAAATCTTCATTGGATGACAATTGAATAATACTTGGCATGTCAGTAAATGTGACATTCCAATGGGTACTATGTTCCAAACACATCCATCTTGTAAATCTCCAATCATTTTCAATCACTGTTCCTGTATTCAAATCTTGACTACCAAACTTGTACTCTTTTGCCTTCTCGTGAACTTCTTTCTTTTTCTTGTAAATTTCCAAAACATATTTTGGAAGAGTTTGATTACTAATGCTTGAATTTAACCATTTTTGAACAATCTTCTTTTTCTTTTGTTCAAAAAGTGAGAACCAATCGCTCAATTCCAATAGGAACATATCACAAATGATTTGAATCTCATCCAAGACACCCACTGTTTTAGTATCACCTGGTTCACGTCTGAGAACTTGTTCTACCTGATTATTACAAAATTCCATTTGTGAATGTAAGAATTCTCTCAAAGATTCATGTCTAAACTCACGATAACTCAAATTCTTTGGAATGTTTTTCAAATAGAATAGAGTTTGATCTGGTGTTTCGCTTTTTTGCTTTTCAACTTCAAGAATATCAAATGCCATTCTATTTTGTAATATTTGTTGACAGAACTTGTCCAATCTCAATTGAACATCGAACAAGTTTTTAAAAATCTTGTTTGTGTAAACTTTCTCAGTAACTGGGTCAAGGAAATATTCAAGAAAGAGAAACTTGATTTCGAATTCGTTAGCCAAACTAAATCTTCTTTCTACAAATTCAAGAAAGTGATTTCGTAATTCGAATACACTTTGTACTTCCAAATCTTCACCCGAAAGATTTTCCTCTGATGAATTTGTTGAAGTAGTTTCGTTTATCATAATGGAACCAAAACTTGTTGGTGACGTTGGAAAGTTTGCCGAATCTCCACTGCTAGTTGATAATGTCTGACTATTCGACATTGATAATAATCCAGGTGAAGAAAGTGATGAACTAGACGAAACAGCAGGTAATTGCTTGGAAGATGGGACAAAGAAAGGATGAAGCAGAATGGTCACTGGCAATCTGACAGATGCAGCAGCTGACTTGTCATTTGATGAGCTCGATGTGGTACTCATGGTATTCGTTAGGTTGTTTTTTTTCTATTCGAAAAGCAAGCAATTCTTGATAAAACCAACTTTCATGGCCCAACAAATCTTCTCATAGCCTTCTAAATTAGGTGTACTCTAACTATATGGAAATACCATGAATTTTGAAGGAATAATTTCATCAGTCGTGCTTGCCGAGCATGGCAAATAAAAGAGAAGAGTTGGTCATGTACTCGTGAAGGATTGGTCTAAAATTGCATCATCATCATGATGAATTATTTTTGTATTTAAATGTTTTAATATATTCGTGATGATGAGAAAAAGGTTTGTTTGGTTTAGGCTCGGTATTTGAATAATCAAACGTTGTTTGAATACTTATAATTTCGGAAGGGATAATTAAGAATTTTGTATTATGTTGCAAGTTTGAATTGTTGAGCAGCCATCATAGTTTCCAGTTGAATTGGTTTTGTTTATTTTCTTTGTGTTTAGTAAGGCTTGGAATTGAGCGCCAAAAGATATCGTAAATTTTGAAAACAATAAAAAAATAAAAAGACTGTAGATCCATGCCGTGATTTATTCAATAAATAATTAATATTTTAGTTCAATATAATGGTATATAAGGAAACGCCATGGTTATTATCAAAAGGAGATGATGTTTTAGATGCTCGAAGAGGTAAACTTCCCGGATGAGCAACAAATGTTCAAAAAGTCAAGCTACTTGTGTCAAATTGTTCTTCAGGTCATCAAATTTAGTTCAACCCTTGTTGATTGACAAAACAGTGAAAAAAATCAAAACTATTGGAATGTGGAAGGGTTCTTTGTTGAATTGCACAAGACTTTTGTTTGTTGCATTGTTGATTCTTGTAGCATTATTAATCTCACCAACAAGGACACTCACTATTAGGACTGTAAATAATTTAAATAATAATGATGGATTGAGCAAACACTCAATAGACAAAGACAACAACAATCAAGTGGGAATTGACCTAGTGTCGAATAGAGGGACACTACATCAACGAATGGCATTGGAATCACCCAACCCCGTGAATGCTAGTACTAGTAGTAACAACACACTCTATGCCTCCAATAGTATGGAAAGGGCAACATCAACAACTCAATCAGCAGGTGCTTTGGCAGCTCTAATAGTGGCTACAACTGTAATGATTGGTCTCACTCTTGTGATCATTATTTTCATTGCAATTTTTATGATTTATGCTAGAAGAAAGGAAGTTCTGAATAGGAAGGCTTCATTACACAATGATATTGTGAATACTAACAAAGTTGTTATTGAAATTAGTCAAGGTTTATAATGATTTGAATAAACCTTGTGTCTGCATTGATTTATTCTCTTCTCCTGTAGGTGCTAGGTGAACTGAAGAACTTCTAAAGTGAGCTCAACATTTCAGAAAATTCTGAAACAATTTCCTCATATAGCATCACCTTCCAATGATATCCATTTTCGACATTTTAGAATTTGAAAACAATAATCAACATGAAATTCCAGAACTCATGAAGTGATTGTTTTATGAGAATTGAGTTACTTGGTTCCTTGCCTTATTTATTGCAGAGTTCATAGGTCGAGTTATCATACTTTTCTTGTGTTTGCTTTCATTGCAAATTCGAAGTTATCGTAGTAAATGACGTGGATTTTTCCGTTCAATATTGAGGATACTTCCAATACACCAACTCCTCTAGATTTTTCACACAACGTTTTAAAATTGGAGTTTGTTAATAACTGTTCCATTTGTGTTAAATTGTTAAATTCCATTACAAAAAAATGATTCAACATCTCGATCAAGACTTGTTCAGTTATTTGGTTTCCTTTCTTCCGAGAAGTGATCGTGCCATTCTGGTGGAGAATTTAAAACACCTGAATCGATACTTTTTCAAATTATTCGATCCATCTTCATCAAACAAGAACTCTGAATTAAATTCTTCAACTGTTTTGAGAGAAGAAGAATTTGATGATTGTTTGCATTCGGAGAGTTTGATGAAAATATTTGATAATTTGTACATTCCAACAATTCATGTGAAAGCGAATGTTGTTCAAGGTGGAGGAGAGTTAATGGAGGAAATGATTGGGATTTTGAAAAGATCGGAAGGAGTGGAATGTTTATTAGGCTCCGATAAGGAATTTCTTGTGGAATTGGAATTTCCTGATGAGAAGATGATGCATGGGAATGGAAGATATTCAAATATTTGGGAATTATTGGAAAGATCATGTAAATATTGGGTTGATGCAAGAGTTTCCTTGATTAAATTATTTACAGAGTGGAAATATTCGAAAAAGAGTTTAAATTCAGAAACTCTGAGCGAATATTCGAATAGAAATGGTTTGATATTGAATGTTTGTCGATTAGTGAACAAGTTTCGAATTCATTTAATACTGGATAATGATACATATTCTAACCATGATATATGGAAATATTCAGAAACGGTCGGCTTTCAAAAAGGATATTTTCGCGTTTCAGATAACTCAATTCCAGATATGGCCATCTCAATTCTTGCAAACATGATGAGCCAGTTAATTTTACCCAAGATGGACACTTTTTGTAACTTGCCACTCGAGGGATTATATTCTGAAATGGAAATGAAATATATTCGAGCTACCATGAGACTCAATCAATGGAATTTGCTCTACAAATTTCTAAATATTCAGCAGAATATCATTTGTAGACATATGAGCAAGGTGTTCCACTCAAACAGCTTGACCATTGTCAAACAAACTACTAAGAGTGAATTGTATCATAAGAATGCTGAGGATATCATTTATATTTTCTCACTCATTCCAATGGATTTATTGCAAACTGTTCATAGAATTCGACTCGTCAAGATCTTTCTAGAAAATTTCTACTCGAGTGAGTTGAATATTTCAGATGAATATAGAGAAAAGTACATTCAGAAATTCCCTGATGATGCCATGCATTCAAATGGTATTCATATATTCGATTCCAGTTCATCCTCTCCACTAGTTTCCAATCAGAAAATTCAATTCACATTCGAAACTGTTCAATTCTTTAAAAAGTGTTTTGCTACCATTCGACAAAATTGTTTCTACATGCCCAAATATCCAAGCCTCTCCCTAAAAGCAATTTGTCACGAAATTAGTGATGATTTAATTTACACTGAAGATACCACAATTGGAAAAATTGACAGAATTTGTGTGGAAAATTGTATTAGAGGAGTGACAGCTCCAATATTCTTCATTCCATGTGTTACTTATTGGAGTATGGTAGGATTGACTTGTTCATGTATTAATCCCTATCTCTATAAGGATGGAAAGAGTACAATCATGTCATGTTTGGATTATGACATTTTTAATTATGTATTTTGGTCAACTGGTTGTTACCCTTATTCAATCTGTACTTGTTGTCTTCCTTTGGAATATGCAGAAGTGGAACAGAGAAGAATTGACGATAACAAGTTCAGACATCATACTACTTGCAATATTTTGTAAACTCTTTACTCCTTATTAAATGAAGGGTTGTAAAAACTCTTTACTGGAATGGAGAATTACAGCTCATCAAGCAATTCAGCAAGTTTCTCCTTTGCAGCTTCATTTCCTTGAGCAGCCGACTTTTCAAACCACCAAATTGCCAATCCATCTGAAACTGCATTCGAATCTTCCTTTGCAAAACCATAATAATAGAGACATCCCAAGTAGTACTGCGCATCAGAATTACCCTGACGTGCAGATTTCTCCAGCCATTCCTTTGCCTTATCATAATCTTGCTCTACACCCATTCCATTCAGATATAAACCTCCAAGATTCTTCTGACCTAGTGCATGACCTTGGTTGGCCGATTTTTCAAATAATTCCCTTGCCTTCTTGTGGTTAATCTCACCGGCTAATCCATTGCTGTAGATACATCCGAGATCGTTGAGTGCATCTGGATTATTGGAGGCCTTTTCAAACCATGATTTTGCCGTTAGAATATCAGATTTTACTCCCTTACCAGTTTGGTATAAACATCCGAGTTGATATTGAGCTATGGAGTTTCCCTGATTGGCAGATTGTTCTAGCCAATGAATGGCACGAGAAATTCTATTCGATTTGATATTTTTCAATCCCATTTGTAATTGATAGGTTTCGTCTTGTTCACACAAATTTCTAAACTTGGATCGTGACAATTGATCCCAAAATTTCTGATCCATTTTCAATATTGAATGATGATCGTTGGAACTTTCCTTAAATCTATCTACTCGCACACTATCCAGAAACCAGTCAATTTCAGCATCCATGCCAATCACATCAAATTCATGAGCTTGTTTGACATTTGGCAAGTTCTTTAACACTTCTTGCAATTCAACAATCTTTTCAGTTACTATTTTCAAGCTCTGTACTGGCTCCTCTTCTTTCAACCAATCATTCCATTCTCTTTTTACACGTTTAAGCTTGGTCAATTCTGTCAACTTTTGCTCAGAATAAATATTTACAGATTTCTTCATTTCCAATTTACAATTTTCCAACTTTTTAAACATTTCATCAAATAACATGTCAATTCTCGATTCTATCAATGGAACTTTCTGTCTGACAAGTTCACATGCTTGGTCAATTGATTCATCCTGACATTGATACTCATTCTCAACACGATTCATGAAATTTTGCCAATATTCAGTCCAATCCCTTGTTAAATTCATACTCTTTTCCATTTCTTCTCTATTTACATTATTGGAATTACTCAAACTTTCATTCAAACTAAAAATCTGAAACCAGCTCGAAGTTGAAGAATTTTTATTGGAAGAAACAGCAGAACCCTTCGAGCTAAGCAAACTCTTTGAACTATTTGTGGGCGAAACACTAGGAGGACGTCTACCATTCGGTATTCCATTTGGTTGGGCCGGTAGAGGACATGTCGATGTTGAAATTTCATTACTAAGGCATTCATGATCAAGATGGCCTGGAGAGGCAGCTGATGAATTCTTCCCCGAGGAGGAGGAGGATGAAGATGTTGTTGTCTTTATCAATGATGAATCGACAATCATTAAGGAAGAAGACAAGTGCTCCACAATCGATTGTATCAACATTTTCTTTGATGATTTGCATAACTCACACAATGAGAGTGTGAGCTTTTAACATCAACACTACAAACCCCCTCAGTTTGCACTCCTCGCTCACAACAAACACAACAAACAATGAAGGAGGATAATGATCAGGGCGGGCACTTGTGTTAATAAGGACAAAAAAGGAACAGTTAAACGCTTAATGCATAAGCAAGGAAGAGTCGATATTCTTATCTTCCTGAATGGCTGTAAATGGGTTCCAAAAGTGGGCATGCTCATTGGAGTTTTAATACAATGGCAGTTATCCTGTAAAGTGTGGAAAATTTAAGGCAATGTTACACTAGAGCTGTGGTGTGTGTTGTATTGTATTGTGTGCACGTACTGTTATATTGAGAGAAATGGAGGTGAGCTCTTCATGATTGTTGTCAAAACAGAAAGGAATCCATTCATAGGTTGATACAATTCCTTCATATACAGTTGAGCCATTCTTTATTTCCTCATTTTGAAACGGCTGTAGAATTAAGGAGCAATAAGGATAACAAGGTGGAATATTCCTTAATCTTGATTAGTGTTGTGGAGAAACAGTAAATTGAGCATTTTTTACAAAATCAAGAAATTTATGAAAATTACAAAAATTATTGAGAAAGAATTCAATAATTGAATCTGCCAAGATGAAATTTGACTCACTGATCCACTACTCAATATCTTGTTCGTAATTAGTGATGAAAATGGTGTAATATCTCCATAAACTTTCAGATAACACGATGAGCATAATTTCAGAGCTTTCAACTCTTTCATTCTGGAATAAATTGCATTCGAATTGTAGAGAAAGGTGTGGCTTGTTTGGTTGAGGATGGATTGCCAGCCACTTTCGAATGATGGGTAAGAAATGATGGTGGCCTTTTTCAGATTGGATTTGGCCCAAGTTTCGTATGTGGATTTGGTCACGACCGAAACTATGACTCCATTCTTGTCCATTTCCTTTTCGTTTGCAATGGAAATTGTGGAATTATCCTTTTCTGATCGAATAAATCCAGCTCCACTGGCAGCATATGGACCTATCTCAGTTTGAATAGTTTATAATAGTAAAAAAACTTTCGAATACATTAAAATGACTTACAGAGTAAGGTAACTTGAGTTTTTCTGTCTTCTGCCCAATTGACTGCTGCAATTGCAACATCACAAACTCCAGAATTTACTGCTTCTTTCATGACTTCGAATACTCCATTCGAAACATCGAGTGGAATCATTGTTCCATTCAATTCAGAATGTGTGGAAGGATATTGATTTCGAATAGTTTGAATCAATAATCTGGCTGCCATATTATTAAAAACCATTCGAGTTGTATCGGCCGATTTTTCATAACATAAATTCAAGTTTAGTTTAGTATAGTTGAAAGTGGCTGGAAATTCCAAACCACTTCTACACGAATCGTCTCCTGGAAACATGAAACCAACTTCTGTCATGTATTGCATCCATTCCTTACTGTGGACGTATCTATTTCATTCGAATGTGTATGTTTTTATTAGAAAGTTTGGAATAATTGAAGGATCTTACCTTTGGGTAGCTATGGAAATGACATCCACAAAATTTTGAGAAACATAAACTTGACCATAACTATTCGAAATGGTAAACATCACGATGATGAATGCTGCGCAGAGAATTAATTTCAGCATTGTTCGAAACTTTTTTTTAAATTATGAAAAACCTAATGCTTACTGGTTCGAAATTGACAGTTTTAATGTCATTTGCATGTGAGAGATTGAAATGTTGAAAGATGCAGTCCAATACAGATGCGCCATTTTCAATGCTCCTTTGATTTGGTAATCGCAATTATCATGATTAGTAATGAAATGAATTGATTGATAGAAATGGATGCTTTAACATTAGAGAGATAGTACATATTCTTACGAGATTGTAAATTGTTCATACCGTAAATAATTTCAAAATTGTCTCTTGTCAATGGATGATTTGGAATATTAACAGAGAGATTGTAAATTCTGACGCAATTGTAAATTGTTTATCTGTAAATAATTTCAATCTAAAATGGATATTATTGAAATATTACAGCTATCTTGTTAAATACTTTTTATAAATCAATAAATTAATTTTATTAAAGATTAATATTAAATCATATAGCAGATTGTATATCAGAATGGCGTTCTTTTGGTTACTCCAAGTTTAGAACAGTACTCGTCACGTCACAATCAATGAAATAATATAATCCTTAATGGTTCGTTAAGTTTAACGACCACACGATGAAACAATTTTTGAAAACTATCATTCCACTATAATAGTTCTTAATTACAATTTGGAATAATAGTAAATTGTTTCAATAATTCGTGTGGTCCTTATCCTCAGCAACCAGTGTCGGTTTCTACTCCCTTCTCAAGCTTGACAATAGTTTCAGCACAAGTAGGGTGAATACCGACAGTGTCATCAAAGTCTTCCTTAGTGGCATTGCATCTCATGGCAACAGCGAAACCTTGAGTAACTTCACCAGCGTTTGGTCCAACATAGTGGAATCCCAATACTCTTTCATTATCCAACTCGTTACAAATTAATTTTACAAATGCTTGACATTCTCTTGCAGGTGGTTCATATTCAAGAACATAGTATGATTTCTTATAAATGGTGAGATTTTCAGCACCATATCTCTTGACGGCTTCTTCTTCAGTCAATCCACAACTTCCATATTCAACAGGAGTGAAAACAGTGGTTGGAACCTTATCATAGTCCATCATTTTCTTACTTGAATTATATAAACGAGCTGCCAAGAGTTTACCAGCCTTAATGGCAACTGGAGTAAGTTCAAGACCTCCAACAATAACGTCACCAATAGCATAAATATGAGGAACAGAGGATTGTTCATACTTGTTGACGAAAATCTTTCCAACCTTGTCAGTCTTGACACCAATATTTTCCAAATTGAGAGCTTGAGTCAAGGCATAACGACCAGTTGCAAACAAGACTGTATCAAATTCCTCAGTCTTCTTTTCCTTTGTTTCAACATTTTCATATTCAACACTCAATTTACCACTTTCAAGTTTGTTAACAGAGAGAGGAACACAAGGTTGATAGAATTTAACACCTTCATCGCTCATAACATTAACAATCTTGTCAGCACATTCTCTATCGAAACCTCTCAATGGAACAGATCTAACCATGATGGTAGTATCATTACCAATTCCATGTAAAAATCCACCACATTCCAAAGCAACATAGGAAGCACCAACAACAAGTGACTTGCCTGGTTCCTTTTCCATACTGAAAATATCATCACTGGAAATGCAATATTCCTTAGCACCTGGAATATCAGGATAGAGTGGTCGACCACCAACAGCAATGGCAAATCTACGAGCAGTGAAACGTTTTCCTTCCTCTTGACCATCCTTTTTACCTTCAACAGTGTGTGCATCAATAAAGGAGGCATACAAATTGTGATAGGTAATTCCCTTCTTTCTCAAATCAGTTCTATACTTGAAATTGAGTCCGTGAATGTGGTCTTGAACCATTTCTACGAGCTTACCCCATTGATGATGTGGTTTTCTTTCAGTTCCGTGACCAACACTATTTGTCCAACCAAAAGCAGTGCCATCTTGAGATCTATCACCAATAAGAGCAGCTGTGTGCATTAACTTTTTAGGAATGCAACCAACTAGAATTTAATATGAATAGATTATAATATAGATTATATAAATTATTATTATTATTAATTTAATATCATTATTAGATGTTTTAGTTGTTATTATTAATATTATTGTTTAATGATGAATATTATTGTTTGATGGTAAAATTGAAAGTAAACGAAAATAATATAATATTGAACAATAATCTACACGACTATTATCAGATTATAAAAACATACCATTTACACAAGTACCACCCAAACCCCATGTTGTTCCTTGAGGAGAAGGTTTAATGTAATCGAAAACAGCAACCTTAGCACCAAGAGCATTTGCTTCCTTGGCCAAGGCAATACCACCCGAACCACCACCAATCACGATTAAATCATAATCGTATCCGTGATCGGTTTCTGGTTCCTGTGTATCTATCACAGGTTCCGACATTTTTTAATTAATTGATGAAGGAAATAATACGAGAAGAGAGAAATGCTATAAATCGAAGAAGAATGCGGAAGGAAAATTTGTTGTTGGGGAGAAATGGTTATTAGGCCTACTTGAAAGCAATGTTGAGAAATTCAATTAATTGTTATTATGTGCGATTATCATGTTAGCTTAACTTCAGCTAAATTCAAAATTGAATTAATTGAAGCCTTCACCAAATAATTAAAATTAAATAGGTTCCTAATTCTCTTCATGTTATCTAATCATCATGGAGAGAAGAAGTAAAGAACAAAATCTGGTCCAGTACTATTCAGAAATTGATAACGAAGTTTGTAATACATATTGCGATTAATTAGGTGTACAAAGGTAAATAGTCATCATTGTTGAGAGTTGATTTTCCATTGAATCCTCCTCTAAAAAATTACTGTCATAAAATCGAACAAATATTGGTTTGTATTATTTATTAGTTATTTTAATAATATGAATGCAACCAGTAAAGAATAATTATCATAGTTATTAAGAATTACTGGGAAAGAGTAAATCAGAGGAGCGTATTCGTTATCAAATCCCAATGATTAAGATCATCAACTGATGGAATTGCTACACACTTCTAATTCCTTTTCCAGCAACAGAGCGCCAATAACATTCCCTAACGCAGTATCAATCAAGGGATAATAGTAGGAGGTGTTTCATTGATCAACCAATGTACATTGCCGCCAACCTTATTACAATGAAAAATCAGGTGGTGGGTTCAACTGGCCCTTAAGAAAAAGGTCATCACCTCTATTCCTTCTCTCTCTCCAACAGTAATGAATATTGTAAAAATCCGAGGATTTTAATAGGTCGAACACTATTTTGCGTGAACTTTTGTTGAGGGCAAGCCTTAAAATCAGCTGCGCCTTACAAGTCATTGAATACAACAACAAAAAAAAACACACAAAACAAAAATGGGTCTCCTCGAAGATAGCACTCCAAGATGTGAAGGTATGGGATTGATTGTCCTCATCCTCAATATCCTTTTCCCAGGTTTGGTACCATCATTGCTGCTTTCCTCACTTCTGAAAAGGAAAAGATGACTTCTACTTTGATTGTCGGTATCCTCCAATTCATCTTGGCTTCCTTGTTGATTGGTTGGTTGTGGGCCATCTGGTGGGGTTTCAAGATTATGCAAGCTTCTGCTTAAATTTCAAGAAAATAATTTTCACATGAAAATAAAAATTGCTTAATAGCAAATGATTGAAACTTCTTGTATTCTGGTGTTTGGAAAGTTCAAGATGTCTTGAGTATGTGCAAGATCAATCCGAATAAAAGTTCAATTCATCGAACCAAGCAAGAATGATGCTATCACCACATAACAAATATTGAATAAATAAACAGTGGTTACACAGGATGGTCTCTATGATCTTTGAAATGAAGAAATTGAACAATAGGAAGCTTGTTATGCTTCTCTAATAGATTGATAAAACTCTGTATTTTTATTCATAGAATTCTCCCACTGATGATTCCTCAATCAATTAAACCATTAAATTTATATAAATTAATAAATTTATTGTTTAAGTTTCTTGGATGGTTGTGTGGATGGCTCGTCAACTTGTTCAATTTTACGACTCTTCTTTTCAGAACTTGAACTTGTTGTAACAATGTTAATATCAACCCAAGCATCAAGTGAAGGATGAAGAACTCCACCAGAAAAGTGAGCACAAACTGTATTCAAATTAGAGTCGGAAGTGAAATAAATAAAAGTGTGCAATTCACCACATGCTGCATTAATCTTAAACTTGCTAGATTTCAAGTGCAAGTCAACGTAGTGTCTTTCAATTTTAGAGAAGGTTGACACTGATGGTTCAGCAAGTGGTGATTCTCTCATTTCATCCAAATAATAACCAAGTTGATTACAAATATTCGATCCAGTAACATAGACATGATTAATTGAAGATTGATCCTTTTCCAATGATGTGGTTGTACAAACAGTGTGATATCCACCAACACTGATATCAGAGAATGTTTTGGCAATATCTTCTGGGAGAGGTACATCATTCAAATTGGTACCATCAAGTCTATCTCTTTGTGAGGAAATCTTTTGTCCAAGTTGACCTTCCAAATATCTACCAAATCCAGCAAGACTAATCTCTTGTTCATTCTTACGGAAGAGGAAGAAGGCATGTTCACTTCCAGAAATAATTCTAGATACAGGTAATGTTGTCTTGACCAATGTTGGAGTAAAGACAGGTTCAACAAACAATTTGCTTTGTCCACAGAAATATACTTGACCATCATTTCTCAAAAACAATGACCATGCATTACCAGCTTGAACTTGAACTGTTTTGGAATCAATATCTTTACATTTCAAAAGAGAGAATTGTGGAACAATATCTTCATCTAGTAATTCTGAATTGGCATTATCACTTGGATCAAATCCTAATTTACCATTATCTGGTGAACCTGTAATATAAACTCTGTTATCATTGGTCAACATGAGAGTGTGATTAGTACCACAAGCAACTTGTAAAATACTTGTACTGGTTGGTTTGAGTTTTGACATGTCTACAAGTTGTGGAGGATTTACAATTTTAGGTAATCCAGCAGAATCACTCAATGAACATTGACCAAAGGTATTATTTCCTGATGCATACATAACAAGTGGCCTTCTGCCAATGAAAAGATTGTAGAAATATCCACAACTCACATCAACAATATCTTCCTCAAGTAAATCACATAAAGTTGGTGTTTTTACATATTTTCTTGATTTATAATCATCATCAACCATTGAATTTTTAAAAGAGACTGGTAAATTTTGTAAATCGTTCATACCACAACAATAAACTTTGTGAGAATCAGTGATAAAAAATGTTCTATTTGTTCCGCAAATAACCTTAACAATAGTTTGCTTGTTGAACACTTTTGTTGTATTCAATATGTGTACTTTACATTTTTCTTGTTCTTCCCTTGTCCAATACGAGTTGTGATCATGTTGAAGTAATTGACTTCCGGCTACCATATTTTGTGAAGGATGCATTGCAGAGAGAATAATATTTCTCCTCTCATAATTTGTCGATGTTTGAACACCTAATTGATGATGACTATTATCACCAAAACACAAGATACGAAGACTCATTTTTTTTATTATTATTTTTAATTAATATTATTTGATGTTAACAGCAGTGTGGGTGATGGAATCTTAAAATTACGAAATTTATTGGAAGTTTTTTTTGATCAAAGAAGAAACACCTTTTTGATATGTCCATCTATTAAAGCAAATTTTATGATTGTTTGTGAGTAGAGAGAGAAAAGTGAGAGATTTACAAAATTGTTTATTTCTTTGGTTTAACTTGAGGTTCTTCACACACATGAATGTAAATATAAGTATGCTTATTGTAATGTTCGTGACCCTTACTCCAATCGTAACCAACAGCATAGGCAAATAAGGAACCATCTCCATTGAAACCTGTTGAAAGCAGTGTCAAGTCGGCACCCAATTTTTTGAATTGGTGTAATCTTTGTTTTGAGGTGTGATCCCAAAAGTGGAAAGTACCATCAGCACCAGCAGTAGAAAATGATCCAAAACTTGGATGGAATGAGAGAGCATTGACTGCATATACATTGGCAGTATTTGGGCCATCTCTGTGACACTTGAAAGCAAAATTCTTCCTTGTAGTTGTTTCTTGGAAATAATTGATACCGACACGTCCTTCAATAGATCCAATTGCAAATCCTGACATGTCAGGGAAACAAGCAACACATCTGGTTTGTTCTCTGAGTGGTGATGGGTACTTTTTAAATGGTTCTTGTGGTTTTCTGACATCATAAATGTAAACTTCCTTATTAGCCAAAGCTACTACAGCCATATTTCCTGCCACAGATACGTCATAAATCTTATCAGCTTGTGGTAGAGACATTACGGCTTGTCCATTATTATTTCTAATATCCCAGTATTTAATTGATTTATCCCAACTTCCTGTCATTACTATAGTTTGCATTCCTTCCACTCCATCTAATGATTTAATTATTTTAATAGGTTGATCGTGTTGTCCAAAAGTTACATCCGCTTGTTGTCCTAATTGTTGATATTTAGCCTTGTTATCACAACCTGCAGAGAATATTTTACCATCCCTAGACATACAACAACAGAGAGCAGGAGCTTCATGTTTATATCTTGCCTTAGCTGATGCCATAACTTGTACCTTTCCCATATTTTGTGCTGCTTGAATTTCCCAGGCTGTGACTGATCCATCCCAAGAACTAGCAACAATAAAATTCTGAGTAGGACACCATGAAATCATGGAAACTGTATCAGAAGGAAGATCAGGTAAACAATAACTTCCATTCGGATTAACATCTCCCATTTGTGGATTTCCTTGCATTTGTCCCATTTGAAACCCTGTAGAAGGTTGTCCCATACTTGGTTGTCCCCACATTTTCCTCTATTATTATTATTATTTATATAGTATATATTAATTAGTATTAGTTTGATGATGAAATTCTCTCCAACAAGCTGTCGTGTGTTATTTCCAAAATTTCAAAATGAATGGAAAAATGTGTGATGAGAATTTTTTTTGATGAATAATTTTTCTTGTGTTCTTCATCTGCATTTCAGCGTTATATTTTTAATAGAACAAAGAGAGAATTCTCTGTGAAGGAATTGAAAAGCTGTTTGTTTGTTTTAAAGGAATTCCATTGTATATATTGATCAAGATTTTACCTTCTCACTGTTCCGATATTTTCCTGTTCATGATATTAATCAATTTACTTGGCAATCATCATCATCATGAAATAACAAATATTTAATTTATTAGATGATAAAGATCACACAATTAAAAGAAAAATGAGCAAATCATCAAAGGCTATTGATTTTCCAACTTTTTATAATCTTCCACCATTCTATTCACTGCAGCCAGTGTTAGAAACGAGAGAAAAACAAAGTAAATTGTGGAGTGAAGTAATTTTGAAATATTGCGAGCATGAAAGGAAATTTGTAATTGTTATTGCTGAGGAAGAAGGAAAATTATTTTCCAATTCTACAATTAATAGAAAATTAAATAGAGAGGCTATTTATTACTTTTTGGATGATCTTGTTGCGAAGGAGAGAGGTGAATGGTTGGATAAAAAGTCCAAGGAATCAATATATATTTATTGGAAAACACCAATGGAATGGGCTGATAAGATTCAGAAATGGGTTGATGATTCGGGAGTTTCAAATACTGTTTGTACATTCTTTGAATTGTTGGAGGGAGAAACTGGAGAAGGAACTGAATTTCATGGAATGAATAAGGACATTTTCAAGAAGGCACTTAAACTGCTAGAGAAGAGAGGAAAAGCCGAAATGTTCCAATCTGGTGACAATGAAGGTGTAAAATTCTTGTAATTTATTTTGTAAATATTTCAATACAATTATTTATTATAATTATTCATTAATATTTAATTAAATATTAATTTAAAAAACACTTCCTATATAAAAATAATAATAATGGAATAATTCAAATATATGATTTATCTAGACTTAAGATCTTTTTATTTAAAGAAATTGTGTGTGAACAAGCAACATTGAAATGAACTGAAACATTTCCATCTCCGTACAGTACTCACAACATCCCACCATATCCACAACTGTTTTCCCATCACAAAAAAAAAGACAATATGCAGAGAAGAGGATGTTATCATCATAACCTCTTCATGGTTGGATTATTTGTCGTCACCATAATGATGGCAACACACATGTTGGTGGTGGATAATTTGGGAGGAAACTGTTACCAAAACAATGGATTCAGCTGAGGATTATTTTGGAATGTTGTATCCAAAGGATGGTTCAACAGTTTTCAATGGATTGTTTAGTCATGGAGCTACTGCCACGGATTTGATCTTTTCTCAATTCTTTGCTGGGGATGAATTCACAAAAACACGTTTTCACACACAATGTAGAAGTGTCAAATATTCAAGTCAGACCTGAATTTCAACAAAATATCGACATTTTACCTAATGAAATGGACGAATCATTGTATAGATTAGTAATTGATTTATTTGGTGATTCAATTGCTACTAAAATCAAATATGGAGGTGTTGTAGATATGACAGTTTCAGTTCGTTCATGTGAACTAAACTTTTTGAGTTTATTAATGACGCTAAGTATTAGTAGAAATTCTGATGGAAGTTTCTTTTATGAGTTTAATATACAAATGTGTGAAATCAAGGTCAATATTCCAACTGATCTCCAGATGCATCTTTGGCTCAGTACTATCCTAGGGTGTTTGTGAAATCTAAAACTGTTTCGAATAAGTGTGAGAGTAAGCTGGCTGGTACTGGTTATTTAACAACAATTGGAGATTTGATTGTTTGTTCTGGTTGTCAACCATCTATTTCAGCAAACTTTAAGGAAGTTTCTTGTGAATGTCTTATGCTCAATAAATTGTAATTATATTTATTGACCCACGTTTAGTTTTCCGTATAGTTCAATTATTGTAATCAAATGTCAAGGTTAAAGAACATCATAATCAAAAATAATAAAAACTATTTAAAAAAATGAAACAATTCATCATTACACTTTGTCTCTGTCTCTTGTGTTCCCTCTTGATTATTGGCATGTCAACTGCCCAACAAAATGATGACAGGTCCGAGTATTCTCGTCCAATTCGTCAAGTAAGAAGAATTAGAAGAGAAAAACTCATCAATCAAGTTGAAACTTTATTGAAGGAATTAAAGAAACTTCACTTGGAAGAAGAACTCGCAGATTCAATGAATTTACCAAATGCTGAATGTCTTCGTTGTTTGATGAAGAAGAATGATGATTTGAAGGACTCTGTTAAAAGTAGTGTTGGATTTGTTGGTGGTTCAATGAGATGTTTGGAAGTTTGTACTGCTGCTAATTAAAAACTTGATATTTCTGTGATTTTAAAAAGGTAGGGTGGTACGTGGATCGAACACGTGACCATCGGATATCTGCTGCAAATTACATTGCAATCCGGTGCTCTACCGCTGAGCTAACCACCCCTTCGATCATTACTTTTAAATATTCATTTCTATAGGAACAATATCCTTAATCAACTTTTGTTTATAATTGTAATATTTTATTTAATTGAATAGTTTAGTTAGAAACAATTTAATATGTGAGATTTTCAAGTAGTGGTGTTGTTACTTATCCCAATAAATTACTTCGCCTCCCTTACTGCCAGTCACAACACTTTCTCCATCATCACTCACTCCAATAGTTGTCATTGGACTTGCATGTGCAGTTAGAGAAGAGGCAAGAGATCCATCAGCCACATTCCACTTGTACAATTTACCATCCTCTCCACCAGATAATAATTCAAAACCATCTGTGCTTAAACATCTCCAAGCTTGATTAACACTCGAGTGATTAAATTGGGCAATTTCAGATCCAGAAATGTCAAATAATTTGATGGAACCATCCTTTGAACATGAAATAAACCTTTGACTGTCTTCACCACAGAAACACAAATCTGAAACAACATCACTGTGGGCACTGAATTCTGCAACGGCCTTCTTTTGTCTAACATCTATTACAATAATGACACCATCTTCACTTCCAGAAACAATCATATTACCAGAAGTATCAATATTCAAGCTGTGAACAGGAGAATCATGTTCTTGGAAAGTTGCCAGGGGCGTCGTTGAGACAGAATCTGATGAACATTTCCAAACTTTCACTGTTGAATCCCAAGAGCTAGATATCAAACTATCTCCACTAATGCAAATCTTTGAAACAGCATCCTCGTGACCTTCCAAAATATCCAAAACCTTTCCATACTCAACAGAGTAGACATAAACTCTATTATCCCATGAACCAGCAATGAGAACCTTTTGTTCTGAATTTGGATCTTCAATCACAGCACACGATGAGAGTGCCATATCACCCATATCTGCTATTCTTCTCAATTGGCGTTTCGATTCAATAGAATAAACCTTGCATGTACTGTCATCACTACTGGTATAAATTCTTGACTTGTCCTTGCTTATTATTGCAGAAGTAATACGATCTCTATGCAAGTCAACTTTAAATGAAATGTCATCAGAAGTTGAGTATTTTGGCATGAATTCACTAACTTGACTCATACTCTTTTGCTTTCTGAGTTTGGATCTCTTTTTTCTTGTTCTTGGACTGTTATCACCAAGACTATCTAACGAGATGGAAGATGAGAGTGATTCATCTTCATTATTTGAGAAACTCTCTTCAGAAATCTTACTCAGCATAAAACTACTTGGTCTATTCAAATCTGTCTTTAACATGTCACTAATATCAAAGTCATCATCTTTTGGAGTAATGATAGGGGAAAATGGTGAAGAAACACTTCTAACCACTGGAGATGATGATTTAGAACTAGTGTTACTAAAACTTTCCATTAAGAGTGAGGAAGAATAGCTTCTTGCTGGAGATTTTGGAACTACCTCCTTGGTAGCTGAAATAATATCCAAAGGAATGACATCTGAGGAGGTCACCGAGAATTTAGTAATGTTAGAAAGATTGGTTCCAGTTTTTCTTTGTGGATGTGGATGATTGAAAACTTGTCTTGGAGTTTGACCAAACTCTCTGATTTGAATTTCAATACCTCTTCTTTGGACAGGATCTCGAATCTTTTCAATATCAATAGCACCTTCATAGGTCAAATAGTAGAAGAGATTGTCAGCTTTAACTGCCTCTTCACCAATTTGTTTGTATCCAAATATTAAATCAATCCAATGATGGAGATTCTGAGAGACATGGTCACTCTCGAGAGCTAGTCTGCATTTGTAAACAAATTCCTGTTCATCCTTTGCCCATGGTGGTAAGATAACATTATTCACACGTTGACCATTATTTCTCACACCCAAATCAAGATTTAAGGAATTGATCAAGAAACTACCTGTTGATTGATAAAATTCTGGAATGAGTTCTTTCAAATCGGCAGTGTTAGAAAGAACAGAATTATAAGTGCTTTGAATGGAGAAGAACTCTCTATCAGGAGCATCAAATCTACCATTTTGTAATTTGAGCATGTACTCTGGAGCTTGTCTGAGAAGGAAATACAAGACATAACCTGGTGTCGAGTAGTGAGTACCATATAAGAATTTTGGATCTGGCATGTCGTAGTATCTTTGTTTGAATCCTTCTAGTCTGTTTGGATTGAGTGCACCTATTGGCTTTCTCAAATCTCTGAAAGTATTAGGATTATTCAAATCGAGAGTCTTACTCGTGTAATCAGCAATTACCCAAGGGAAAACTGGATACTGAGTCAAATCATTGAATGATCTATCTGCAATAAAGTTCAAATAGAGCAAATAATCAAAATTGCTGATTAATCCACTTTGCCATTTGAGGGTCATATTCCCTTGATCATTTAGAGAAATGTTAGAAATGATTGGTTGTTTTAGAATAATGTTATAAATATTGTCTCTCTCTGTTTGATTCTTGACTGCTAAAAAGATACTCTTATTGTTTTGCATAAAAACTTCAATACCAATATGACGAAGGTTGTGTCTTCTTCTCACAATTCTGTTAATATCCCTCAAATTATACTTTTTAACAGGTTTTGTACTAATATTGTTGAAAGGTTGAAAGTAAATCCTCTCATTAGTCAATAGAATGCATCCATGTGTATCGACGAGTGGTGTCACTTTGGTACCATGAGTTTCATACAGAGTCTGTTCTCTGAAATCCTCAAGCCAAGTCACATCAAATGAAAATCCTTTAGCAATTTGATCCTCATAGATTTGATTAATTTGTTCCACTGATGGAAGTCCAGAATTACTTTGGAATAATTGATAGATTGGGGTAACTTTTTCAACAAATTGTTGTGCAGTTAAGAATGTTAATCCAATAACAACTGTTTCAGTTTGCTATTATTATAATAATTTTAAATTTTCCAATAAAGTTTCATGATCAGTAGTACCACCATCATCAACATCATCAAATTGAATCAATTAACAATCAATAAAGCAAGTAAAGGAATTGAAAATTTGTCCATTACCAACTGTAAATAATTCCCGAAATTATTCTTCTTCTTACCTTTTTAAATATGAATGGATGGTCCTTGTTTCCTTTTCTAATTTCTACAAATTCTGAACAATTGAAACAGAATAGATTTTCATCGGCAAACGAGGCAAAATAGGGATGATTCATTGATGTGGCTTTAAACTTTTTAAATCCTCCTTCAATTTTATCAAAACAGTGTCTTGTGATTGAAAATCTGGTATCATCCGGTACAAATACTAGTGATTGTGAGCAAAAGTGAAGTCTTCCTTTGTATTTCTCTCTGATTTTCCAATATTTCCAATCATCATCAAAATTAATATTTAAATATTAATATATATTAATTTTCATTCAAATATAAATTATAAACACAAATAGTTATAAATCATGAAAATCACCATCAAAAAACACACCTTCCACTTGCTCCAAAGTAATACGTACAAGAAAAGTCTTGGAAATAAATTTCATCCTCCTTCAACAAGAGCATGTTGAATCTCTTATTCTTCCTCTTCCGGAGCATCTTCAAAATCTTGTTGCAATTTCTCTAATAAACAAACACTCTCTATAGAGGATCCTCAATAATAATTTTAATAATAAACAGAAGTAGAATCAACGTCCTCCTCGGCAGAAAATTGTTTTTTTTAATGATGAAAATTTAGAAATCACGATGATGAGCAAGTCCCAGCACAGATAAGAAAATTAATCGAGTAAAAAACTAGTTTTCAGTAACTTAGGATAGGATTATTTGGAACGTAATACAAGTTGATTTTATTGCAACGTATTTCATCATGAATTTCAAATTTTAAAATTCAAGTTGAAAAGTTTGCAGAGATGGACAACATGTTAGTAATTTTGAAATGTTTCAAAACGTACCATCTTGACAGGATTGGTTGCTCCAACATTGTATATCAATAAATGTTGATTGAGTCATTTTACGTATGAATTCAACTCCTTCACCAGAAATACTATTTTCATAAATAGAAAGTCTGGTCAATTGGTTCATTTTACTGATTGCCTTGAATCCTTCATCACTAATATTATTATCGCAAACATCTAGATGGGTCAATTGTTTCAGTTCACTTATTGACATAGCTCCATCATTACCTAAATTATTTCCTTTAATCACAAGTTCAGTTAAATTTTTCAAGTCTGAAAGGTGTTTAGCTCCTTCACTACTAATAGAATTATGGGAAATATCTAGAATAGTCAGTTTTTTCAGTTCACTTATATGCATAGCTCCATCATTACCTAAATTATTTCCTGTAATCACAAGTTTAGTTAAATTTTTCAAGTCAGTAAGGTAATTTGCTCCTTCACTGCTAATAGAATTATCGGAAATAGAAAGCTCCTTCAATTGTTTCAATTCACTAATGTATTTAGCTCCTTCATCACTAATACGATTATAGGGGATATTGAGACAGGTCAATTGATTCAATTGACTGATGTATTTCACACCTACACCTCTCATTTCACTGTAAGGAAAATTAAGAATTGTTAAATTTTTCAATTCGCTAATGTATTCAAGTCCTTCACCATCAAAATGACTTTCAAGAATAGAAAGTTCTGTCAATTGTTTCAATTTACAAATGTGAAAAACTCCTTTCTTATTAATATTGTTTACAGAAATGTCAAGTTTGGTTAATTGTGTCATTTCGCTTATATACTCAGCTCCTTGTTCACAAACGTAATTCTCAGAAACAAGTAGAGTAGTTAATTTTTTCATATTTCTAATATATTTAGCACCTTCTTCACGAACATAGTTTTTAGTAACATCAAGATATGTTAATTGTTTCAATTCACTGATATATCTAGCTTGTTCAGATCTAATACCACTTTCAGAGATATAAAGACTTGTCAATTGGTTCAATTTGCTAATATATTTAGCTCCCTCAATACTAATTTCATTTTCACTAATGTGAAGAACTATCAATTTTTTCAATTGACTTATTGATTGAAGTACTTTATCGTCAATACTACATGTATTAATATTAAGGCATGTCAACTGCTCAAATTTACCAATATATTGAGCTCCTCCACTACCTATCTTAATACGAGAAATATCAAGATTTGTTAAATGTTCCAATCCACTCAAATATATTATTCCTGCATCACCAATACTATCATTGCAGGCAATTTCAAGACTTGTTAATTGTTTCAATTGACTGATATATTTAGCGCCTACATTGTCAATATAATTAGCAGAAATATTAAGCTTTGTTAATTTGTTAAATGATTCACTGATAATTTTAACTCCTTCGGAACCAATATAATTACCAGAAATGTAAAGACTTGTTAATTGTTTCAATTCAGCCATGCTTTCAACATGTTCATCATCAATATCCATTCCTTGAATTTCAAGACTAGTCAATTGTTTCAATTGACCAATATATGTAACTGATTCGGAATCAATTTTAACTCCAACAACGTAAGGAATACAAAGATTAGTTACTGATTTCATCAATATTAATTTTTTGTAAATATTTGATAGTACTTTAATCTCAAGATTTGCAATATTTTGTAAAAATTGACCATTTACATCATTGGAATGACATTTAACAGTCATATTATGACATGTTGATAGAATGACATTGTACCATTGTTTAGAAACTAATGCACAATTCATGACAAGAAATTTAAAATCGTCACCATAGAACGATAAAATTTCATAAATAACATCATCTTGAAAAACTTCTCTTTCCATTTTTTTTGGTAAATCATAATTTATTCAATTTTTTGGTCAACCAAACATTTTACATCATGCTGATTCTAGGAATGATTTCACATCACTTGTTTGGAATTTAATTCATGTTGGTACATCATCAGAACAACCTGAACTAGCTTTGATGTTATTTAACATCATAGCTCAACGAAAGGGTAACTGATGATTATTGTCTTGTTTTGAAAGAATTGAAAAGTGAGAATACAACATCCAAGAGTGAGTTAACTATTTCCTTAAATTCAGGTCTACTCTTGAAATTGTATTCAACACATTTACTTCCTAATGTGTGGATAAGCTTGGCTTGCTCTTCTGTAAGACATGGATAATGCTTACATAATTCTTCAACAGAAACGAAATTGATTTTGAGCAGCTGAGTATTGCTATCTTTTGTACGCACAATGCTTTGATTGGTCAAAAGCATATTCAGTGTAACTCCAAAACTGAAAGCATCCACTTTTGTGTTACCTATTTCCGCACCTGTTACCATTTCAGCAATCTCTGGAGGCTTCCATAACTGGGTCATCATATTAATCAATTATCAACTTACCATATAGCCCGCAGTACCATAGATTGAAGTTAGTGTTGTCAAATATTTTGCTGACTCCTTTGCTACGCTAAAATCTGTTAGTTTTACATCATTCACATATTCAATTCCATTAATAGTAATTGTTGAATAGAGAATATTGGAAGGTTTTAAATCGTGATGATAGATTTTTTCACTATGCAAAAATTCAAGTGTTTGAGCAATTTTCAAAGCAATGAACATAATTTGAAATATTTGTCCATAACCTTGTCCTCCAAAATCATTAAAAGAATTTGTTTCATCTTTAAAACTTTTCATCAGTTCCAAAAATAATTGTACATTATTATCATTTTCTTCATAATGAATTAACTTGACAATTCCTGGATGTTTGCTAACTTTTCTAATAATGTTTAGTTCTTCCAAATTATTTTCACATTTTATCGTTTTTCGTGCTACTGGAATATTATTCAATAATACTTTAACCACAATACCACATGCACCCTTTCCTAATTCTGTCATGCCACTTAGATCTATAATAGGATTTTGTAAAGTACAAGAAGTGATGGTATCAATGAATTTCTCAACATTATTAAGTGCAATAATCTTAGAAATGTTGTGTTAAAATTGAAAGGCATATCCTGAATAGAGGAAATATTAAGGAATGTGCTGAGTTGGGTTTTGTCGTTTGGATTCAAAAATTTGCTTAAAATTGACTTTTCTATTCCTACCACTCCTAATCGTTGTGCTGTTTTCAATACTGGAATGATTAAGTGTGTTGGAAGAGTGACATTAATTCTGTAGCAATATTTCACAATATATATCATTTCTTTTGGATAATTATCATCTGAAGATATCAAATTAAAATTAGTCATAGATGAATTTAGAATAGTTTTGTGACACTTTACAATCTCTCCATCAATTGTTAATACTAAATCGTGGTATAATTTAGTTTTGTACAAGTTTTGGAGAGTTTCTAACAAATCATTTCGATGAAAAATGTTCAACAGAGGTTCAACTGAATTCATATTAACGTTGATCTTTGGATAGGATCTTCGTTTAACCAGAGTTTTAAAATATGGAATAGCTCTATCATTATTCTCAAAGTATTGATCATATTCAGGTGTATTAGAATAAAATGCAACAAAATCCAAACAGTATTCTTTGATTTGATTCAAATAGGAATTATTGTTATCAGAATCTCTATTCTGATAATTAGTAATTGTGTAGACAATATTTAACACACTTTTCATATCGATCATGGAAATAATTGATTCCAATAACTCATTTTGAAATTTAGACATTTCATTTGATACTTTATCCAATATAAATAATACAAATAACTTTTGTTTGATAGTTGTAAATGTGATTTCTGGATTGTAAATTAATTTATCTATCAGTAATTGTAATATTTCAGATTCACTATTGTTAAGTGATCGAATAAACTCCTCATTTAGCAATACATTTTCCAAGAATTTAGGTGCAATAATATTAATGATATCTTTAAAAACAATAATGTGACTATTTGGTAATTTGTCATATTCATATTTCTTGAAATGAATTATTTGTAAAATTTGTTCTGGTAAGATCAAGTCTTTGTCAACGATAATATTAGGTTGGCATAACAATAATTTAGCAATTTCAAAATGTTGTTTCTCTACAGTGATTCTTAATGGATTCTAATGGCATTAATTGACTAACTTATAGATATACCTACATCCTTATATTTTTAGAATCAATGATATTATTGACACTTACTTTCTAATATATTATTAAAAACAATATTTTAAACTAAAACTTACTTGCTAATATACTTTCAATATTAATATTCATATTCAATACTTACTTTCTAATTTGTTTTTAGAATTAGACGAAGCTATTACTTACATACTGATATTGTTAAATTTAATAAAATAATCATTACTTACAAGCTAAAAACAATTAATATTAAACTAATTTAATACTTACTTCCTAATAAACTTCAGACTACCAAAAATATTAATGTAATACATACGTACTAATTGTGTTAGCACAATTAAACATTTACTTACAACCTATTTAAATTAATAATTGTATAATGATTGAATACGTACATACTATGTATTCAATAGTAAAAACACGATTGATTCGACACTTACTTTCTAGAAAATTGTTAATATGCAAATAAATATATAATACTTGCTTCCTTATAATTTACTAGTAAATAATAGAATTGTAATTAATACTCACAGACTTAATTATTTAAATAATTATTTAAATAATAATTTAAATACTTACTCCTAAATTGACATCAACATTCGGGACAGTCAACAATAATTTAACGATTTCCAAATGTCCCCTCTCGCAAGCTACATACAACAAGGTTTTTCCCAACGAAAATACCTTAAATTGGTAAGAATTGAAATAAAAATCATTAATGATCGGAGCCAAATCAAACTTTAACAATTCAGCAACATTTCCATCCTCCACCACTTGTAAAATTTTGTGTTTGTCAACAACTTCCACACCTCTTCTCATTTTTTTCTAGAACGTGATTGGATGAAACTCATTAATTGTAAGTTGACACGATAGTTAACGTGTTTCATCAGGAGTATTTCCATTAATTGATATTTTGCATTTCATAGAGTGTAAATGGATGATGTGAATTATCATTCTCCGAAATATTTTCTTGAATTGTCACTTGTCCAAAATTTACAAAATATTATATTTTAGCAAACAATTGTATGCACCGACAATTATTTCCAAAACAAATCCTTGCAAGTTGTTTGGAATATCTTCCTCATTCAATGCAACTCCGTCATCAATATCCAATAGTACCTTTCGAATTTGTTCTTTGGACCATAAACATGCGCATGTTAAGGCAGCAAAGGCTCTTATTGTTCTTTTGTATTTATTTTTACAATGAAATATCTGCAACAAGAAAAAAAGTTGGGGTCAGTGAGGATCGAACTCACGACCTTAGGATTATGAGACCTACGCGCTACCGACTGCGCCATGACCCCTACACAGTAATAATAAGAAATTACAAGTCCTTGATGAATAGGTTTCCTAAAGTGAAAGCGTAGGTTATTGAATAATTTTATGATTCTAAATTCCTCTGGATCAAAGATTGTAATGAGAAGTGGATGGAAAGGAATTTATCTCTTGCTGTGGTTAAGGAAACCCGCTCAAAACGACCATTCTCTCCGTGCATGTGTATGGCCATTTTTCTGAAATAACAAAATTAAATACTTAATCGAAATGAAATTCATATGTTTTTAAGGATTTACATGTAGGAAATGAAATCCTTACAATGCATATGATTTTTTACACTGATAAATGCAATAATACTGTTGGTCAATTGATAGTTGATAAGGAAGTTTGCGTCGCGGACTTGGGAAGCCAAATTATTACATCCGCACGAAAGTGTTCAAAAACCAATAAAAAGCTTGTTGACCTTATTGGATGAGATGGTTGCTGAGGAAAACAAAGTGGCTGCACGATTTACCATGACTGGCACACATGACGGTGTGTTTATGGGAATTCCAGCAAGTGGAAAGAATATTTGTGTGAAAGCCTCAAATTTTTACACGTTTAAGGATGGTCAGATTGTTGAAGAGTATGGCCAACCTGATTTATTGTCGTTGTTGCAACAAATTGGTGCCATCCCACCAGCCAAATTGATTTAGAATGGCTCTTGTAACTAGTGATAATCTACAACCTGTATAAATAGTGGAAAATTCTCGACTTTCAAATGGGTTGAAGAAACGAACCAGCTCTACCACAAGCTTGTTTGCATAAAATATTTGAATAGAAAGGTGAGAAACCTCAAATGTGGCATTTGTTTTCTCTCAACTAGTGGAATTGTTGAAATGTCACTTATCTAAATAAAACTTGAAAAAAATTATCGACCTACTTTTTGACATGCCACTTTGCAACAATTACAAGTCATTTATTTCGGCGTTTGGCTCGGAAAATCAATTATTTTAATAATTAAAAACATGTGAATTTTTATAAAATTGAAACCTTGCTGAACCAAACACTGAAATAAGTGAGTAAATCATCACGTCCTATTTTGAATTATTTTTACTATTAAATATTTATTTTATAAAATCCCGAATTAAATCTTTCATCGAATGATTTTTCATACAATCCATCAATGGGTGTTTTACTGCCTAATTTCAAAATATCACAATGTGAATACTTATACTTTTTGAATAAATAATTTTTTTATTAGGTCACCCATGTGACAATTTTACTTCGGCAAAAATAATATTCTAAAAGATTCGGTGTAAAAATACATGTTCAAGCCAAATTTAATGTTTAAAAATAAAAAAGCAAAAAGAGAAAAAATTAACAAGATTTTTCTCCCTCTCAGAGGCTTTTTATAAAACTCGCATACAACAACACAAAAACAACAAGAAGAATATATAATATTATATTCAACCAACACACTTACACTTTGAACAAATATTTGAGAGTGTTTGTTACGTACCCACAACAATAATAACAGCAAAAATAGTCTAGTGGTAATAGCTAAGAATTTAAACCGTTAGAAAACACAATTGTATCATATACTCTGCAAAGAAGGACAACAAAATGGATACCACTTGTTATCAGGTAAGGAATTATAATAGATAGATAGGAGACGAAGAGGATTGGATGATTGGAAATTTATTTTGGTTTTCTTCGTATTATGCAATTTGATGATGAAATAATAATAATTAATTTAATATGATGATAATTAACAAAACAAAAAACAATATTGAAAAACAATTTAAAAAAACAATAACATGGCAACTATGATCAGGAAGCACAAATTGCCAAGTCATTCATCTCAAACATTTACGATAGTTGGAAAGAAGGAAAAAAGGATGAATTACAACAATACTATAATGAAAACTCCAAGTTAAGCTGGAATGGACTGATATATAAAGGCATTGATATCATGAAGCTTTTCATGAACATCTATCAAAGATTTACTATTACCTCGATAGATTGTCAACCAATTGGTATGTGGTTATAGAGAAATACTCATCAACTGACTCAACAATTAAGACAAGGAACATTTACTGATCAACGTGACTGGAATTGTAATTTATGATGGAGATAACAAGACAGCTAAGCTATATTCACATCAGATAGTTCTAGAAAGCAAGAATACGAATGGAACAATAGGAGTTTGTGTAGTTTTAGAAAACTTTAGATGGCTTGCTCCATGCAGTGTGAGAGCAGAACAAGAAATGGCTGACAAACCACAAAAACAACATACACCTAGGAGACAAAATACACCACAAAGAGGAGGTTTCCAAAAAAAGAACTTTTACACTCCTGGAAGAAATCCAAAGTTTCAAAATCAAGAATAACATGTAAAAAATATAAACTAGAGAGCTAATTTATTTATTTAAATTGGAAACAAAGTATTTTATTTGTCTTGACTGAATTGAGAAAAATGTTTTATTTAGATAGATTATTACCTGTGTGTCTTTACTGCATTTGCATTGAGAAAAAATTCTAATATTTGTTTATGAAGATTAATTACAAAATAAATTGATTCTGGTTCACAGAGAGAATCATCAATACTCCATCTCCTTGATCTGAAGCTTGTTGTTGAGATTTTGCAATATTAATTTCACTGTGATAATAATCATCTAGAAATGTAGTTGCTTTGAATCCAAACTTGGTGTAGAGTCTCTGAGCTGGTAAATTGAAAGAGGAAACATGTAATTGAATCCACAAACACTTCTTCCAATATTGAACAAATCCGCTTTGCATAGTTGGATAGTTATTCCAATATTTACATTCCTCTTCCTCAGTGTCAGCTATTTGGTCAACATTGACAATAACATGTTCATTAGAATTTAAAGATGAAACATAGTATGTTGTTTCAGAGGTATCTAAATTGCAGGCATTCGTCGTTGGTGTGATTGAATATTGAGAGCTTTGTACTTCATCATTCATTGATCTCCACATCCAAGAATAGGTCAGAACATGTTGAATGGTAAATCTTAACAATTCCTGCCCAATTCCATTCTTTCTCAAATCTGGATGAACTGCAAATGAGGTAATTTCACATCGTTGCTTCTCCTTATTAATATTATAGGTAATGTAACCTGCAACAATGAGAGATCCAAAAATGTTGGTGTTATTCCTAGTACAAGCAACCCAGGTGAAATTATCAACTGGTTTTTCATGATTATTACATAGAGATTGTTTAAATGCCTGATAGAGATACTTCTTATCTAGTGGTTTTGAAAAGCAAGAGCATTCAATATCGTACAATGCCTCAAATGTTTGATCTGAGAATGGATAAATGAGAATATCTGCTGTCTTTTCTGTTGGACGAATATCAATCGAGTTGGAAGGAGAATTATTTACATGATTTACATCCAATTGATTGGTTTGATCTGGTAAAATATCATTAAAATTGTCAACATAGATACTTTCAGCAATTCTTCTTGGTCTTTTCATAATTGGAAGAGCTGATTGTAAGAATACATGATCAGACGGATGTGAAAATGATGAATTATTCGTAGTACTGGAATCAGTTCCACTCGTTACAGACATTGTACTGACATTTAGCATCGATCCAGTTGTCTTTCTAATATGATTCTTCATACAAGTTGAGCACAAATCGAAATCTCTACAATTCAAACAGTGAAATCTCGTTCCATGAATGCTACACTCACATCCATCACAAGTAACACCCTTGTGAACTATCTTCCCCTGAACTATCTGAACTTGTTCCAAATTAAATGAATCAATTGGTTTGGTAAATAATTCATAATCTTTACAGTATTGATCAGCAACAAGCACTCCATTCTTTGATATTTTCTTATCCAATAATCCAATTCTTTCCAAAAGCGGATATTTAAATTTTCTATTCAATACCAAAGCAAAACAATGTCCCTTTTTCTGATGATGTTTACCTTGTTCCTTTTTACAATTTAAACAGAGAGTATAGGCTGTTTGTTGAGAGGAAAGCGAACAATTTAAACAAATGGACATGATTTGATTTTCATTGATTTTTGATTTACAATTTTGACATGTACATTGATCGCTCCGATGATGAATATCATTATTGAGAGGATGACCGGTCGAGGAAGAAAAAATGTGATTTCGAGAAGTAGCAGCAGGTTGGCGCAAATTGTTCATTTTTTTCTTTGGTTGTTTACAATCTCTTCTATTTTTGAATCAGAGTTCATGTAAAATCATAAGAGGACAAAACGTTGAGGATGGGATTCGAACCCACGCGGATTACTCCACCAACTTAGCAGGCTGGCGCCTTAACCACTCGGCCACCTCAACTTACGATTTAATCTTTAAAATGGCAAACAGAACTGTAACACTTACAACCTTAGTAATCTCTGGAAATTCTATGCTTCAGAGGATAAAGATAGCAATTATTATGCAATATTATCCTCCAGAACTGGTAGACAGTTTATTCTTAAATATCTTCTCCTGCTGGACTAATCATTATGGAAATCTTATCCAAATCATTGCCAATAGATATGGAAGACCTATTTGGACGCATCACAATTGGATTCACATGATGTTTCTCCTTTACAAGATATGTTTTACATTCACCTTTTCCTTTTACCGAAACTTTTCTTTCTTCAAATTCGAATAAATCGTATGTTCTTTCGTAGGTACTTCGAGAAAGTTGGATTCGTCCTGGTACCCCAGTAGATTCCATTCTTGAGGAAGTATTGATGGTATCTCCCCATAAGTCTGTTTTTAATTATAAATATTCAATATTTTTGTAACAAATTGTAATGCATAGTTAAAATATCGAAAAACATACCATAGGCAAATTTCTTTCTTCCAATCACACCAGCAATAACTCCTCCAGTATTCAATCCAATTCTAACATTCAATTGTGAATCTAAATTTTCAGAATTATATGAACGGATTACTGACAAGGTGTCAATTGCAAATCTCAAAGTTCTTTCTGGATGATCGGATTGAGCATTCACACCATGCAATCCTCCAACACAAAAATACGAATCCCCAATTGTTTTTATCTTTTCCAAATTGTATTTATCTGTCAAATCATCAAATCCGTTTACAATTCTATTAAGCATTAGAACTAGCTCAGAAGGATTCATGTTAGAACTCAAATTTGTAAATCCAACCCTAAATAGATTATTTTCTAATAAATTCAAGGAACTTACATATCACTGAAATAACAAGTAATGTCAGAAAATCTTTCGGCAATGAAAGTTTCTCCATTTTTAAGTTTCGTCGCAACTTCTTCTGGAAGAATGTTCCTTAATAAATTTTCAGAATTTTTCTTCTCCTCCGCAAGTAAACTATTCTGTTTCTTTTCCATTGTAATGTCCTTAATAAATAGAGAAACAAATGAGCTATTGTTAATTTCAGTTCCAAAAATGCTCACTTTGGCGGGAAATTTACTCGAATTCTTTCGAATACAATCAATTTCCAATACTTCTCCCAATTCATTTTCTTCCCCTTTCGTATGGTATTTGAATTCGCCAGTTGCTTTCTTCATCAATTCGTGAAAAGACGGATCAAAGAGTGTTGTGAAGGATAAACCCAAAACGTCAACTGCTGATTTTCCAAACATTTTCTGAGCTGCAATATTGATAAATGTCACTTCTCCTCTTTCATTACATGTGACAGCTCCTTCTACCATTGAATTGAGAAGATTCTTAATGGCATCGTCATATTCAGTCTTTCGTTTCACATGTGAACTATTAGAAAGTGTATTATTCACAATGAAATTCTTCAAAATATCATTCGAATCTAAATAATCTATTGGAATGTAATTCAAAAACGTTCTCAATGTGGTAATATCATAATCAGTTGTGTGAAAGCTCATATAAATGTAATAATTAAAAGCAATCAAGAAGAAAAATCCAAACACAAAGAATACAATACTAATCACTTTCGATGATGAAGTAGAAGAAAGTGTTGTCAACAATTCCAATAATCTCTCAATCATTTCATCTGTCATGTTAAATATACTGAGATAGTACAAAAAAGTGTCAGGTGCCTTTGCATAGAATGGATTCAAAATATCTTCATTGAATTTTGAACACAAATGAAGAACAGTTGCAACTAATTCTTGTAAATCATAACACGTTCCATTTAGACATGTAAGTGGAGCAGTAATTACCTCGTCAACTCCTGGATATTTGTTGAATATTGAGCTTGTCAAATTTCCACCGAATAAAAGTTCTGCAAATTGAGATTGTGCTTCAGAAATGTAGATGCGATTATCAGAGTGGTATGTATCTAGATTGGATTGATTGGCTAATGCAGGATCGTTAACAGAATGCCCTGACTTGATACCATAAAAGGCAAACAATTCACCCAATCGGACATTTAATCTTGTGCAAGCTCTTATCACTGATGTGGCTGTGTCCACATTGACCATGGCCTGAGATGACATGGCCACATTCAGATTATTTTCCACATACATAAATGAAATACAAAGTGAAAATACTATTAAGGAAAGAAAACCAATACTAAGGGACATGAATTTTGGACTAACTACCCTTCTCAAATGTTTCACTTCCTGAGTGGACCGTTTTTGAAGATCATGATAGACGGATCCGACGAATTCTTTGGGAATCTTACTGAATAGGTTGATTATTCGAGAAGATTTAGACATTCCAATTCTGGAAATTATTAAAAATGTTCCATAAATGATAATTAATACAAATGTGGAAGTAAATAAGTAAATTCTCAAAATTCTATCAAGTAGCAAATTCTGAGCCCTCTTTCTAATCTGAAATTTTGAACAAAAAAGACCATTCGCCTCACTTGCAGCTCTTCTATTAAGGTAAGTATACATAAATTCATAAGATTTGATCGTTTCATTGTAATTCTTCCAATTGTAAATAATTTTCGTGTTGGATATGAATTCTCTCGTCAACTCACTCATGGAAATGTTCTTCTTGTAGCTCGTCGTGTAAACTCTATCACTGGTGCTTACACTTGCTGTAGGAACAACAATCGGATTAATCACAGCTTTGTAATCTTCAACCATTTGTGTTGTAAACTGTGGTGATATTGAATTAGCAGCTAGATTTTGTAAATATTGCAAAATCCTTTTCAATCTACGTTGGTGATTATTCAGAAAATATTGAATAGTTTCATATTCAGAGGAATTCACAGCTGGTTGACTAATATTTAGATTATTGTAAAGCTCATTGTAAATTTGTCCCATTCTCACTTCACGCATCAAACTTGAAGGACTCGTTCCAGGTAAGCAAGAATCCAAAGATAATGGAATTTCCGTAACTAAACTTCCCAAAACAATGCAAAGAATGAATGCAATTAAAAGTAAAACTATCTGAAACAAGGCTAAACCAATTAATGTGTAATTTCGTACTTTGGATTGATAGGGAGTGTTAAGAGCGTTTCTAATAAAGAGATGTTTCTTTTCTGTGGATCCAGCCACTTCAATTCCTTCAAATTTTTCCTCCTCCAACTCAATCATGGTATTTCGTCTATTTTCTAATAAAGTATTTGGAGGTGTAATCATACTATTGGCAATACTAAAATGCTTTTCAGTTTTTGGTTTCGTCTTTTTCTCAAACTTTTTAACAATTGGCTGAGCTTTCGACTCTTCCTCTTCCAACTGAAAAGCTTGTTCGAATAAATCAGCAGCTGTTTCCTTGTCAAACTTGAAATTCTCTAAATAACTTGCATAAAACCTCAACACTGTCTTATCGTGTTTAAAATTTGTCATTAAATGTTTAAATCTCTCATCACAATACAAGGTCAATGCAGTTGTACGAGAGATTAGTTGATTGATCTTAATTTCATTAGGTAGGTCAGAAATTATTTCCTTCCAAAACATGCGATGGATTGACCACAACTCATCCTGTTGTTTTTCCAGATCGTGGAGCATGGTTTTGATTTCTACTTGATTAATTCCGTGAGTTTTAGTTGAGCTGTAAACTTCAATTTCTTTCATTCTTTCCATAATTAGAATTCTTGTCCAGCCATTGTTACAGAAGCGTTTTGCCTTTTTTAGAATGTAGGTAGCATAGGAAGAACTGTTTTCATCGTTCCAATA